AGAAGGATTCCCAGCTCTTTCTTTTGTATATGGTACAAGCTTGGGGGGAATAATTTAAAGGATCCTGCTGTGCTGATTCACAAATTGATGCACTAGGAAATGAATTCAACTGGGGAAAGTAGGCTTGGCTATTTTGATCATCACATAGAGATAAGAACTATCCTCAAGTGTTGGGGCAGTGTCACCTAGTTCACAGATGCCTTAAAGAAAACCTCTTCTCTGAAGACTTCCCTAGCTTGCAGTACTGTTTGGTCAAGGACTTTTAGCATTTCATCACATGTAAAAAGTGACATTTAGATGTTCCTGCTATATGGCCTGGAGCTCCTCCATGCCTGGAATAGTAGTGGGTAGAAATGAAGTTGCAGAGAAAAAATATTTTCTCATTGGAGGCTCACTAGAAATCATTGCAAACAAGTTTTTAAATTTTTAAAATTCATTTTAGTTATAAATAATATTAGGATTCATTTTTACATAATCATACAAACATGAAATACAATTGGCTTCAATTCAGTCCCCAGTACTTCACCTTTCAGTATAGTACAGTGCAGTAGAGTAGCAGGCATTTAACCTAACCTGGCCACAGGAAGGTTAATACCAGAAGTGCTCTTCCAACTCAAAATGTCCTTGTTCACATCATGGTGGTGATGGTGGCAAGGTGTATCTGCACTTGGGAGTGCTTTTTGAAAAAGGGACCTGAGGAAGAACTGGGAATGAATCTGACCTAACTTTCCTATGTCCATATATGAATATACCACAGTGAATCTCACTTTCATATACATCCACAAGGCACTAATCAAAAAAAAAAAAACTATAAATAAGTGTATCAGTAGAGGAAAGGGAACAGGGGAGGGAAGAGGGATGGAAAGGGCAAGAACTGGGGACTGAATTGTATTAAATTATCTTCCATGCTTGTATAATTATGTCAAAGTGAACCCTAATATTATTTATAACCAAAATGAACTAATAAAAAAAATAAAATATTTTTTAAAAAGGGAGCCCTCAAAAGAAGTCTTGTGTTGACAGGGTAGTTAAGCTTGATTGTGGTTCAGTTGTTTATATGAAGTTGTGCAAGGGATAACATTGCATAGAGTTACCAAAAGAAGAAGAAGAGGAGGAGGAGGACGTGTAATTGATAAAATGTGAATAAGCTCTATGGTTTGTAAAACACCAATTTCCTGGGTTTATATTATATAGTCACCATGCAAGATGTTAACACTAGGAGAGATGGAGAGAAGAGTGCCCTGGGAAAGTTTTAAGTGAGGACAAAGGAGCTCAGTCCTGGAGCAAATGATCTAAAAAAAAAAAAAATGCACTAGGAATGATTTTTTTTTTTTAAGTATTTTAGTTTTCGGTGGACACAACATCTTTATTTTATTTTTATGTGGTGCTGAGGATTGAACCCAGCACCCTGCGCATGCCAGGCGAGCGTGCTACCGCTTGAGCCACATCCTCAGCCCAAGGAATGATCTTGAAGCTTGAAAATATATACAAAAAAAAACAAAACAAAACAGTATCTCCATGTCCAGACCCAAAGATGTTCCTGAAGAAAAAGATAGAGTGGGCTACCTTGGTCAGCGAATTCAAAATGAGTACAAAGTCTAAAAGACCTTCAACAGCATGCTTTTTGTTAGCAGCTAAGTGATTTGTCAGCCCCTTTCCTGTAGGCCTTAGAAATAATCTTGAAAGCTGGGGAAACACTGCATGTTTATATATATATATATATATATATATATATATATATACACACATACATACATACATATACATATATATATACATACATACATATACATATATATATACACATACATACATACATATACATATATATATAAATAAATATATATATATATGTATATATATATATATATATATATATATATATATATATATATATATGTATATTTAGTTTTCGGCGGACACAACATCTTTGGGGTTTTTTTGTGGTGCTGAGGATTGAACCCGGGCCTCACGCATGCGGCGAGCGCGCTGGCTTGAGCCACATCCCCAGCCCTGTTATATATTTTGAAGATTACCATTCTCAGACCATGTTAGCCTGATTCAGCATCACTAACTGCAGCTTAATTCAACCATTCAGCAATATTTATCGAGCACCTAATGTGTGACTGGCCCTTCTGACACTTCTAAGTGCTGGTGTTATGTCCAGGAACAAAACAAGAATTCTGCCCTGGAAGAGCTTATGTTCTAGCATAGAGGAGGAAACAGGAAGAGAAAAACAACTAACATAAGTGAAATATAGGGCAAACCAAAAGATGATAACTATATGGGGTGAGGGAATAGACCCAGGTAAAGAGGACCAAGAGAGGGTTTGGTGTGTAGGACAAGGAGTGTCACTCACTTCTCTTGAGTTTTTAAAGGATGTTTGTATTGAAATCAACCCTCTATTTGAATTTTCTTTTCCTGCCACCAAATTCTCTACCTCCTATTCCTTTCCTAATTTTTTTTTTTTTTCAGAACTGGGGATCAAACCCAGGGCCTCACGCATGCTGGGCAAGTGTTGTACCACTGAGCTACAAGCACAGCTCTCTTTATTTTGAGATAAGATCTTAGTAAGTTACTCAGGCTGGCCTTGAATTTGGGATCCTCCTGCCTCAGCCTCCTGGGAAGCTAGAGTTACAAGTATGCACCACTGAGTTCAGCCCTCTAATGCCATTTTCTTCATCAGTGACTCTCCCCCTTTTTACTCTTTTACCCCTCTGACCTTTCTTTCCTCTTTCCCTTACATTTGTTTTTCTCTTTCTCCCAATTCATTTTGTCCCATTCACTTGTTCTTATGTAGTTTTCTTTTGGAACTAATGTTCATTTGATTAAACTAAAGTCCATGTGCCTTGTGTTACATTGTTTATTTTATTGTTCACTTGACAAATGCTTTTTATTCTAACTGATGTAGTCAGAGATTAATCCTACTTCCACGGACTCTCATCTCTTAGGGCCATGCCCCATATAGAGGACCCCACCCCAGATATTTCTGGAACCTGGAGGAGCACCTCACAAGAATGTTCAGAGCAGTCCTATTCATGAAAGCCCATGGATAAATAAGTATTTAGATATTGGGATACTATACAGCAGTACAAATTAATGAATGGTTGCTGCATGCATAAACAGGGAGGAAACTGATGATGATAACATTGAGTAAAAGAAAACACACAAAAGTGAAGGAGGAAAATAATCCTTGCTTCCATTTATTGCCATTCAAAAAATAGGTTTTATGACTGAGGACAGTGATTACCCTTGGCTTTACTAGGCAGGAGGAGTTTGGGAGGGCTGCAGGGCACTGATTCTATTCTGCTTGTTGATGTGGGACTGGCTGACGAGTGTGCTTGTGAAAATTCTTTAAGAATACACTAGGATTTGTATTCTTTTTATATGTATGTTGAACTAGAATGAAGAGTTTGCTTAAGATAATGAAAATCATTGTACAAAATAAGCTGTAAATATTTGGTTAAGAATTACGGATTTTATTGAGATTTGTGAATAACGTTATTTATGCATTGATAAACCTACAAAAAATTACCTACAAATGGAAGTAGGGCTATGAAGAATACATCAAAATGATGACTGATAAAAGTAATGGCAAGGGCTGGGATTGTGGCTCAGTGGTAGAGTGCTCCCCTAGTATGGGCGGGACCTGGGTTCGATCCTCAGCACCACATAAAAATAAAGGCATTGTGTTGTGTCTATCTACATTTTTTTTTAAAGTAATGGCAAACTTGGAATATGGGATTTTAAAATTATATTTAATAGTTTTTCTCAGAAAGGACACACCTCAGGAAAAGGCAACTTTGCATTTATTAAATTTATGTGTAAATATTTTCAAATTTATATTATTTCAGGTTTTTCTTAATAACACTCCTTTGGCACACGAATTAAAATCAAGAATCAATAAATGGGATGGACTCAAACTAAAAAGTTTCTTCTCAGCAAAAGAAACAATCTGTGAGGTGAATAGAGAGCCTACATCTTGGGAGCAAATATTTACCCCTCACATATCAGATAGAGCACTAGGGTATATAAAGAACTCAAAAAGCTAAGCACCAAAAAAACAAATAACCCAATCAATAAATGGGCCAAGTACCTGAACAGACACTTTTCAGAAGAGGATATACAACCAATCAACAAATATATTTAAAAATGTTCATCATCACTAGTGATTAGAGAAATGCAAATCAAAACCACTTTAAGATTTCATCTTGCTCCAGTCAGAATGGCAGCTATTATGAAGACAAACAACAATAAGTGTTGGTGAGGATGTGGGGAAAAGGTACACTCATACATTGCTGATGGGACTGCAAATTGGTGCACCCAATTATGGAAAGCAGTATGGAGATTTCTTGGAAAATTGGGAATGGAACCACGATTTGACCCAGCTATCCCTCTCCTCGGACTATACCCAAAGGACTTAAAAAGAGCATACTACAGGGACATAGTCACATCAATGTTTATAGCAGCACAATTCACAATAGCTAAACTGTGGAACCAACCTAGATGCCCTTCAATATATGAATGGATAAAAAAAGTGGCATATATACACAATGGAATATTATTCGGCAATAAAAGAGAATAAAATCATGGCATTTGCAGGTAAATGGTTGGAGTTAGAGAAGATAATGCCAAGTGAAGTTAGCCAATCTCAAAACAACAAATGCCAAATGTTTTCTCTGATATAAGGAGGCTGATTCATAGTGGGGTAGGGAGAGGGAGCATAGAAAGAATAGACAAACTCTAGATAGGACAGAAGGGTGGGAGGGGAAGGGAGGGGGAGATGGGGTTACAATGATGGTGGAATGTGATGGTCATTATTATTTAAAGTACATGTATGAAGACACAAATTGGTATGAATATACTGTGTATACAACCAGAAATATGAAATATTGTGCTCTACATGTGAAATAAGAATTGTAACGCATTCTGCTCTCGTATATGAATTTAAATAAATAAATAAATAAAACATGGAAAAAAGTAATGACAAACTTGGAATATGGGATTTTAAAATTATGTTTAATAGTTTTTCTCAGAAAAGACACACTTCAGAAAAAGGCAACTTTGCAATTATTAAATATATGTGTAAATATTTTCAAATTTACATGATTTAAGGTTTTTACTTGCTATTAAAATTCATATGTAATACTACAATCATCCTATAGGTTAGAATATGACAGAGATAGTTTTAATTTCAAGTAAAATTTCCATAGACAATACAGAATTAAGGGTATACTTGCTATTCACAAAATGCATAGGAGAGTATTTCTAGAGTGTGCAGGTGAAACAAGTAAGACTGGTCTTCTTAGTCGCAAATGGACCCAAGATTTTACAAAAATCCAACTTATAAAATGGAACTTTGGTATCTCCTTAAAAAAAAAAAAGAGAGAAAGAGAGAGAGAGAGAGAGAGCAGTGCACACATTCCCTCTATTGAACAGAGGTATTCTTTCATTTTCTGCAAGACTATTACATTCACTCTTTAGAGATAATTTTTGCCCTTATAATCAGGTATCACTATGAAAATGAGATAGCATTATAATTCTGGTTTTGCCACAACTAGATATAATCACAATTCAGGATCACCTAATTTTATATTATCACTGATCATCTTCCTTCAGAAGTGGGAACATGGTTTCTGATTTTATTTAAGAAAAAAAAAAAAACAGAGATGACACATTGTACCTTTGGATAACCAAACACATTTGGGAATTTCACACACCTGTGCTAAAGGGAAATATAGCCCTCAATCAAGCAGGACACTGGCTCAACTGAAGACCTAAGTACTTATTTGTTTCTGGAAATGGTGACTTCACTCCAACCTATATATTATACATTAATACCTAGAACTGTATTTGGAAAAGACTAAGTAAAAATGAAAGATAAAATTTGCTGGCTTAAGATATGGATTTTTTTAAAGTATCTATTCCCAAAGTATATATTCCAAACCATTTTTTCCTTTTGAGTTCACTCATTTTAAGTACAGACTACTATAGACATTTTATTTTTAGATTTCTTTTGAAAAGTAGTTAGAATTCAATTAAATATTACTTTATGTACTGATAAGTGGAGAAAAATATAAGCTAATTTTAATCATCATGATCTTATATCAAAATTGGTTTTGCTCATAATAGCAGTTTTCAATATATCATACCTATATAAAGTTTCACACAATGAGCATTTCTATAAGGATAAGTTAAAACTTCATTTTTAAGCTAGTCTGTCTCGTATTTTATTTTCTTTGATCTTAATTGTGATCTATGATGTTATCATATCAAAAAATTATTTCTATAAGCCATGAAAATCTCACTTCTCTGCCCCAATATTTTTAAAATATATGAGCCCCATTCTAATAGTTTTTAAGTGAACCATGTCCAGCATTAAAGAGATCCTAAATTCTGGTTATATATCTGGTCACATATAACAACACTTCATTACTAAGTACTAACCAAACTTGCATTTTAAAAACTTTGACTTATTTTGCAAAAAGGCTATTATTGATAAAAGCATGAATAATTGCATTTCAGCATTTTCTGAATGTGCCTTTACTCTGTGATCAGTGCAGCTCATGGATATCAAGGTCAATCAGAAATAGATCTTTCTTTATGATTAGTCCTTCCTGACTCACCCGCCCACAGAAGCTATTAGGTCAACACTTACTCTGATTGAACAGAGATATGCCAGTAACCTGGTGCACATTGCTAGTTCATCTGCATGACAGATTTGCAGCATCTTACAATGTCAGCAGATCCTGGACATTACCAATTTGCCTGGGCAATTCTCCTTGCCACTTTGCACATTTTAGAGGTAAGCTGCTTACTAAATAAATAAGGCACAGAAATTATCTAAATGTTTTCATCATTTAATGACTAAGAGGTTAAAAAACTCAATGACTTAAAAAAATGCAAAAGGAAAAGAATGAAGTGTTTCAAGTCCAAAGAAATAATCAATGCAGAAAATGTTTGCATATAATGATATTGTTGGGTAAATTATGCCTTGCAGTCCTTGTTTACAGTGAGTGACCTCCTGATCCCACTTTCAGGAAGCAAGTCTACGCATAGCCTGTGGAAACAAAAGGGAAACAGTGTTGGTGCGACTTGTGTCTACATCATCCTCTTATAAATACGTTTTTATGGTATTGGTTGCTTAATTTTATACATCTTAGGTACATATTGTCACAATAAAAGTAGAATAAAACTTAATGACCATCATACTTTAATTGGATTTATAGAAAAGCAATAATTACTATTTATTGAGCATTTACTATACATAAGACACTGCTCTTGTTATTTCACATGCATCCTTCACTTTTTAGAACTCTGTGGTATTTTCTATTTTACATGCAGATACCAAAATAAAGACAGGGTATGTAATTTACCCTGGGCTGTACAGCCAATATATCGCAGAATCAGGACTAGCCCGCAGATCTGTCTGGTCCTAAAGCCCATGCCGTTGAAACTGCTATGCCATACTGCTTCACCACCTATAGAAGCCTAACTGAATGATCCTTTTATGTGGTAGTCAACAAAAATCCTATAATATAACAGCTTCTTCTTAAGTTCCAGTTTTGAGAGGAGTTTTTACTCAAACTAAGGCTGCCCTATATCCATAGAGTCATAAGTTACTAAAACTGGAAGAAATTCTCAGCTCATAATGACTTTCCTAGGCTCATTAAGCTGGTGGGCTAAGATGCAGGGCCTGTGATTCTCACTCTAGCAATATCTTTATCAAATTTGCTGCTCATTGTCTCTATTGCCTGATTTTATGACAGGGGTTTGGATGTTATTCTTTTTTAAAAATATTATTTATTCTGTGTGGGAGGCCGTCACTCTATGTTACCAGCATTTTCCCTCCCTGATTAGTTGAGGCTCTGTCGGTCACTTCCAAGTGATTTGGCCACATCAAAGTGGCCCTAGATGGCTGCCCCGATCTTGGAAGTCACAAAATGTCACAAAATGTGTTTTCATGTGTAGGCGTGCCTTCTTGCAGCCCCATGGGTTGAGCTATGCTCAGCTGTTCCTTTGTGATGTCACCCCCTTGCCCTGTTTGGGATAGAATGTTCCACAGAAACGCCCTTTGTGTGTCCGCTTCTCTTGCTCTGCCTTTGGATGTGGCCTTCCTAGATGTCAGTCAACCTGCTGACAGCAGACATCATGAAGCTAGACTCAGCCCCTTGAAACTTGACCCTTTGCCTCATTTGAATGGCATCTCCTCAATAAAAGGGGTCAGCACGAGCTCACACACTCTCTCTCTCTTTCTGCGGACCCTTAAGGTCAGAAAACCTCTTATATGTAATTTTGTATAACAATGAGGATCTCCCTCCATTACCATGCAATTTCCCTTTTCTCTCCCTTTCCCTCCCACCTCATGTCTCTGTTTAATGTTAATCTTTTCTTCCTGCTCTTCCTCCCTGCTTTGTTCTTAGTTGCTCTCATTATATCAAAGAAGACATTTGGTATTTGTTTTTTAGGGATTGGCTAGCTTCACTAAGCATAATCTGCTCTAGCGCCATCCATTTCCCTGCAAATTCCATGATTTTGTCATTTTTTAGTGCTGTATAATACTCCATTGTGTATAAATGCCACATTTTTTTTATCCATTCATCTATTGAAGGGCATCTGGGTTGGTTCCACAGTCTAGCGATTGTGAATTGTGCTGCTATGAACATCGATGTGGCAGTATCCCTGTAGTACGCTCTTTTAAGGTCTTTAGGGAATAGTCCGAGAAGGGCAATAGCTGGGTCAAATGGTGGTTCCATTCCCAGCTTTCCCAGGAATCTCCATACTGCTTTCCAAATTGGCCGCACCAGTTTGCAGTCCCACCAGCAATGTACAAGAGTACCCTTTTCGCCACATCCTCGCCAGCACTTGTTGTTGTTTGACTTCATAATGGCTGCCAATCTTACTGGAGTGAGATGGTATCTTAGGGTGGTTTTGATTTGCATTTCTCTGACTGCTAGAGATGGTGAGCATTTTTTCATGTACTTGTTGATTGATTGTATGTGAGGGGAATGGGAAAATAAACAATGAGAGAAATGAATTACAGTAGATGGGGTAGAGAGAGAAGATGGGAGGGGAGGGGAGGGGAGATAGTTGAGGATAGGAAAGGTAGCAGAATACAACAGTTACTAATAGGGCATTATGTAAAAATGTAGATGTGTAACCGACGTGATTCTGCAATCTGTATTTGGGGTAAAATTGGGAGTTCAAAACCCACCTGAATCAAATGTATGAAATATGATATGTCAAGAGCTTTGTAATGTTTTGAACAACCAATAAAAAAAAAAAAAAGGTCAGAAAACCATTACAGGACCCCCAAAGAAAAAGGTATCTCTGTCTCTTGTGTGGTTATTTCCTCAGCCAAGTTCCCCTGGAGTGACCCTGAGTGTTTTTGTTGCCGGGAATGCGACAATTCTAATTTGTTATACATGACAGCAGAATGCATTTCAATTCATAGTACACATATAGAGCACAATTTTTCCCTTCTCTGGTTGTACACAAAATAGTCACACCATTTGTGTCTTCATACATGTACTTGAGGTAATGATATCCATCTCGTTTCACCATCTTTGCTACCTCCTGCCCCCTCCCTTCCTTTCCCTCCCCTTTTCCATATCTAAAGTTCCTGCATTACACCCATGCTTCCCCCGCTCCAATCCCCATTATGGATCAGCATCTTCATATCAGAGAAAACTATTCTTATGAACAATTTTTATCAAGACCTGGAAAAAAGGCAGAGAAGGCATGCTTATCTGATTTGCCTATGATATAGGTTGAGTTGGGGAGTTAATAGTTGATTGATAGGTTCAAGTTGCCAAACTGTTTCAATAAACTGGAACCATAAGGTACAATATAGCAGAAATATGTGTAATCTTACATTTGGGCCTAAAATCAATAACAATATACATGAGCACCCCTGTTAGACCACAGTTTGTATGAAAATGTCTTTAGTTGACCCTGTTGGGTAGATGCTAAGATTTGCATGTAGCTACAATGAAAGCAGACATTTTAAAGTTACAGTAATAAAAAGATCTTCAAAGGCTGGGGTTGTGGCTCAGTGGTAAAGAGCTCGCCTCACATGTGCAGAGCCCTGGGTTCAATCACCAGCACCACATAAAAATAAATAAATAAAATAAAGGTATTGTGTCCAACTACAACTAAAAAGATTTTTTTTAAATCAAGTTAAGTAGTGGTTGTATAATGTCCATCTGGGTCTGACTACCTTTAGGACTTTTTGTTCCCATCTTGGACAGTGAAATATTGACAAACTGCATGTCTGTGAGGAACAGTAGAAGAAATTGGAGGAGTTTTCCTGGAGGAGAGTCTGGAAGAGACATAAGAGCTATTCTCTGTTAAGTGGGAAGGTTTGTGTTGCTAAGGAAGGCAGATCTCATTCTCACTAGGTGGTTATTATGGAAAAGCCAAATTCAGTTTTGTAAACACAGCTAACATTTAGAAACTTGTGTCCATGTAGCAAACTCCATTGAGCATCACTTGTTGCCCGTTTTTGGAAATGTTCACACAAAAGTAAACATCCATCAAGAATGGTGCAGGAGGGATTTCTACATAGGGTGGGATGTGACACTACTTTTTTTTTTCAACACTGAGGATTGAACTTAGGGACACTCTACCACTGAACTGACCTACATCCCTAGCCCTTTTTGTTTATTTTGAGCCAGGGTCTCTCTAAACTGCTGAGGTTGGTCTTGAACTTATGTTCCTCCTGCCTCAACTTTCCAAATAGCTGGGATTACAGGCATGTGCCACCATATACCCAGCTAACTTCATTTTTAAGAAATCTTCCAACTTTAAAATTCTCTGATCTTGGGACTGGGGTTGTAGCTCAGTGGTAGAGTGCTTGCCTAGCAAATGTGAGGCACTGGATTTGATCCTCAGAATCACATAAAAATATAAATAAATAAAATAAAGGTACTGTGTCCATTTACAACAACAAAAAAAATCTTTTTTTAATTCTATGATCTTCCATTGTTGCTACCATTTTACTCAGGGGTGGAACCACAAAGCTTATTCAGACATTAGAAGTTCAGGCAAGTTTCCTAGGAATAGTCCAATGCCACAGAGCATCTGAAATACATAGAATCAGCCTCCAGTGGAAGGAGTATCTTTTTAAACCATTATCAGTCAGACGAAGAAAAGTCATAAGGTTTCTATTCCTTATGTACTATTCCTGAAGCTTATGAAATTCCTGGGTTAGGAATTCCTCCATTCACCTTCTCCCTATCCCATGGCCTCAGGTCTCTGAACAATATTTTTTGGAGTTAGGTATAAAATCAAGATGCAGTGCATTAGCTACTGCAAGTTGCTGATCATCTCTATATGCTTTCGACAAAAGGTTGTCAAGTATTTCATGTCTTCAAGGGAGAATTCTTGTTTTCTATTTTTCCCTCCTTTCAAGCCATCCTTTTTATATATTTTGGAACTCTTTTGCCTGAATGGTTCTTTTTCAAAAAATATTTATTTTTTAGTTGTAGATGGACACAATATCTTTATTTTATTTTACTTATTTTTTATGTGGTGCCAAGGAGCAAATCCAGGACCTCGCACATGCTAGGTGAGAGCTCTACCGCTGAGCCACAACCCCGGTCCCGTGAACGGTTCTTAATCAGACATACTCACTACTTGCCTTATTCGGTTTACTCAAAATTTAATCCAAACTATTTTCTTCAGGAGAAAATATCATACCTCATCCTGGACATCAAGTTCTTCCTCAGTCAACTCCGCTTCCATTAATTCAAGAGGATCTTTACAATCTTGAATGAGGGTGATCTTGACAAAGAGAACACAAAGTATTTATTGGCAATATAATAGCATTCATCCATCTGATACCACACTGAAAATTTGAAGCTCTGCTGGTGCTTCTCATCTCTAATCCCAGACTTCAGAATCCTCTTCAGATTTCTTCTTTTTTTTTTTTTTTTAATTTCCCACCTTACCATTTTCCCTATACCATTTTTTCACATTCAAGTGTGAAATAGAGAACTGGAGTTCTCTATTGTCCAAATTCCTTTTCAGCAGTCTTCCCCAACCTCTGAAGTGCATGCCTCTCAACAGGACAACCCCTGCCTAAAGGACTGAGCAGTCAATAGCTCTCTTTCAATAGCTAAGCTAAGAGCACTCCGTGCAGCACTGAGCAAACAGTGAATGCGCTGTGAAGGGCTCGTGATTCAGGTCATTAAATGGTCCCAACTTGAATTGGATGGAATTAATTTTATTGGAGGTGGAAACCAACAATCTATAGACCAAGCTGGCTGTTCCAGAAAGCTCTGCTTTTTAAGGGTAGTGCATAATTTAATCTGCATAAGGGAGAACAACAATCTAGGGGTTAATGCATGAAGGACATTTCCAAAGCAACTCCAAATATATGCCAAGGATAAAATGTCATCTTGTGGTGCTACTTTGCTCTTTTTCATCTCACAAATAACCCACTTCTCTTTTTTAGTATGGAAATTAATTAAAAGATTAAGTTGCTATGGTCATGACAGAATGGGAAAAGTACAGTGAAGTGTAGCGACAAGTTGGGACTGTTCTGGGGGAAGAAAAGGGATAGGAGAGGATCATATTGCTGCTTCTACAGTGTCCTTAATATACAAGTGACTGTTTTTGAAAAAAAGGAAAGTAGCACAGGTGAGGTTTGTCATCATTTACCATTTATCTATCATGTATGGAGCTTTGTGCTAGACCCTAAGGAGACACAGAAGTGTAAGGTTCCTGATCTCACCGGCCACCAGTAATGCTCAGCCTACTCTTCAGTGAACCAGGAAGTATGTCATGCAAGCATTCAGTTACACTCAACCTAACATATTCGGAAAAAAAAAAAATTCATCCCAGCCACTCACAGTGTCTCTCTGATTGCAAACAAGATGGAGCCTAATATGGTGGGTGTACTCTTTGTTTTAATATATATTTTTTAGTTGTCAATGGATCTTTTTATTTTATCTATCTGTCTATTTATTTATTTATATGCAGTGCTGAGGATAGAACCCAGGGCCTCACATCTGCCAGGTAAGTGCTCTACCATTGAGCCACAACCCCAGCCCCAGTGGGTGCATTCTTGGTGAGTGGGTTTTGTGACATTCACTGCCTAGGATTTTAGATCAACTTGTGTTATCAAAAATAACTATTTTCATGTTGATAAAGAACTCAATACCTTGGTTTTGCTTTTATCTTTAAAGTGGAATCTTTTTTTAGATATATGATCCCCCCCTTTTTTTGTCTTTGGCTTAGAGAATTTTAAATTGAATAGAAAAAGGTTTATGAGTTTTCAAAGATGAGCAGCTTCCATGTAAATTTTTTAAAAATATATTTATGGTTTTACTACTTTTTCTCTTTTTCATATTTAAAATTGACACTTCAGTATTTAGGGCCTCTCTTTTTTCCCTGGGACCATTAAGCAGAACAACCTCTCCACTGACAGAAGCTGAAATAGAATATATAATACTTTATAAATTAGTTTACTTCAAACATCAACTTCCAATCTACAATAAAGATCTACTTATCCCAATTTTATAACAATGAGAAGCAATTTAATATTCTTTATGCCCCTAGAATCATCATCATCATATTTTTGTTGGCATTGGTTCTAGTTTCCCAAATTCACTGTGAAAAGGTCAAGGTCAAAGAGAAAGGAGGATCTTGTTCCAGGCCTACCAGTAGCCTCATGCAATGAACTAGACCAGAATGTTCTCCTCTCCTAGATATTTGATAAGAGAACTGACAAAATAAAACCAATAGGAAATTAAGGCCTATTCTGTTTTGTGGGAGAAAATTCACCCTGGGTTTATTTGTGACCTTAGTATTTTTTTTTTTAAAGATCACTTATAAACTAATGGATCCTATTTAAAAATATTTATAATACAAGGATTTCCAGATTGCTAAACTTTATCTTGCATTTATATATACAAATCATGGAAGATCCAGGACTCAGTGCTATCTTATAAAAAGGCATTATAGCTAATGCCCACTTTTATTAGTAAACCCAAACATTGTAGAACTATTACACTCTAGGCATCCCAGGTATGTTCCTATAAAATATCTCATTTAGTCCTCATGTCTACTCAGCAAGGTAAATATTTTTACTTCCATTTCACAGATGAGAAACTGAGCCTCTGAGAAGTTATACAACTGGCCTAAAATTCAACAATTAGGCTGGATTTCAAACTATATTTGTATAATTTTTGCAGTTTATAGAAAACTTGATAGTTTAGGAAAGATACAGATGCAGAAAGATTAAATACTTACCGTTTCTAAAATGGAATCTTGTCCATCTTGGGATTTAACCTGGTTCTGTATATAGATTATAGCATCATGAACAGTCAGAAAGAATGTGTCCTTTCTAATGTTATCATCAAAGAAGCCACATTGCTCCATCTTCTCTATCACATGATCTACAGAAGAAAGAGATAATGGTTAGTAGTTGATAGGAAAGGTATTTTTATAACATCTACCAATACTGGTTTTGTAGCTCCTTTCTTTTTTTCTTTCTCATTTTCAGAATGTGACCCTTTTCTACACTGACTGAGATTTTTTTTTCCCAGTAGCACACATAATGATTATCCCATAACTGCTTGTAGATGGCCTTAGTCCATGTATCTTTTGCCAAATCAGTGTACCAGCTGCTGCGAGCCTGGCTGCTAACGGTTCACAGCTCTGCTCCTCTCTGGGTAATTTTCCTTGGCCAATAGGAGCTGTTTTGCCTGAAGAGACCTGAAGGCTATACCTGTATCTAAGGGGGATCTGCATCAATGATTAACTATAATGAGAATACAAAGGCGGGCCCCTTGCTCAAGATGGCATAACCTCTGGTGATCTTCCTGCTGTGGAGCTCTCTATGCAATCAGGAGTCTAATGTCAACCTTCTGAAACTACTTCGATGACCAGCCTCTCCTGCCCTGTCCTGCTTTCTTCACTTCTTCAGTTACTAACGCAAGAATCCCTGTCTCAGGCTCTGCTTCTAGAGAACTCAGTCTAAACATTATCACTTTCCTACACACATACAAAGACACAGACATAAGTTTCTATACATTCCCAGCTCTGTGACACAAATTCAAGGTATTATCTTTGACATAAAAAATGTTCTCAGAATTATTGTGTCATTGGTACAGAGCTTCTGTTTGTGATGATGAAAAATTCTGGAAATAGTGATGTTTATAAATATTGTGAAGATAACGAATGCTAGTGGATTAACTATACACTTAAAAGTGCCTAAAATGGCAAATTTTCTTACACATTCTTTATAACAATATTAAAGAGTTTTTTGTTTTTTTTTTTAAAAAGACCTTCAGACATTATGTGCCCATATTCCAAAGTAGGAGAGAAAGGACTTAGGGAAAAGTCTTATATATTGGCACATAGATGCATTTACCTTGAAGTGATGCAAAGTACACATTCACATCAATTCTTTGGAATTCTTTGACAATCTAAAAGTAAAAACATCAGACAGGTAAGCATCAGAAAGGTAAGCAGACTAAGGCATGACAATCAGATGTAATAATATGAAGCAGATTTCTAACAGAGGTTTAACTTAGCTGGGGGCTTTGGGGCTACATCTGCAAGGACAGGAAATGATTCCAGGGTGTGGGTACTAGGTAGGTAAGATAGGGAAGTAATTATGCTTGGCAAAAGTGTGTGAGAATATGCTGAAAGGTTCTGTTCTCTTAGCACATCTGGTTATTAGCTCACTGGAGAACACACACTTGTTCTTTGTTGTTCATTTCACTCTAAGCATTGGCTTAGATCCATTTTAGATTGTAATGGCCCAAGGGTTTAATGAATTACTTTTGAAGAAAGTCTAACATATTTAATGCCAGAATATTTCCCATACTTTAATAGTTGCTTTCAAATACAATGATGATTATATAGAATATATTGCACATAGGTCTAGTGCATTGACTTTTTAAGATTAAATGTTTTATGATCATTGTAAATGTAGTTGTAAGGAATTGTAGAGAGATTTTATGTACCCCTTTCCCAGTTTCTCCCAATAGTAATATTTCATAAAACTACAATACAAAATTACTGTCAAGATTCTGACATTGATATATTCATAACAGAGATCTTGAGGTCTACCAGAAGTTTCACCTAAACTTGAAACCTAAAGGTGACGCTCTCTTTAAAGACTTCTTCGGAACACTTAATACAGTTGTTAAATTATAAGATTACTTAATGTTTACCTTCCCTTCTAGACTGCTTAGTCCCATGAGGGTAGAGACCATGGCTACTTACTTCATCACTAGTCTCTTGTGCCTAGAAGAGTGCTTAGCACGTATAAGGCATTTAACATCTACTTGAAAGAAGGTGTGAACTTGAGCTTGCATAACTGCTTTCTGAAATCATGGATGTTTTCACCCTGCATGCTTCTCAACTCTTGCCTTGACTTCCTACATGCCTGACTATTCTAACCTCTTAATAATGCCTGGTTTTTCGAGTCCTACCATGTACCTGGTGTTCCTTATGCTGCTGCTATTCACATAAAAAGTAGAATAATAATGACACAAACTTTGCCCATTTTCCCTTCTTTTCATATTCCATTTCCTATACATTCTCAGAAAAATAAAACACAATAAGTGTTCATAGCTGGGTATAATGGTATTCACCTGTAATCCCAGCACCTTGAGAGGCTGATGCAGGAGGACTACAAGTTCAAGGCCAGCCTCAGCAATTTAGCAAGGCCCTAAGAAACTTAGCCAGAACCTGTCTCAAAAACAAACAAAAAAAGGTCTGGAGTTGTGGCTCAGTGGTAGAGAACTTGCCTGGCATGTATTAAAGCACTGGTTTGATTCTCAGCACCACATATAAATAAATAAAATTAAAGTATTGTATCCATCTACAATTAAAAATATTTATAAAATAAAAAAGGGTCTGAGGATATAGCTCATTGGTAGAAGACCCTTGGGTTCAATTCCCTGTACAAAAAAGAAAAATAAATATTCATAATTGCTAAGGGGTACGTATGTGCCAGTCACTCTTCTAAATTCTTTGCATTTATTATCTTATTTAATCTTCATAACACTCCTGTGAAGCAGATGCAATCTTTACCCACCCCTCTATTACAATGAAGAAATAGAGACACAGACAGATCAAGCAACTTGTTCAAGGTCACACTGCTAGTGCTAATGATGAAGCCAGAATTCAACTCTGGCTCCAGAGCTTATGCTTTTAAATATCACACTCTTTAGAAGAAGGAGATCAAGGGGGAGGGAGGAGGGAAGGGAAAGGGGAGGAAATGTGGAACAAATTTAACAGAATCACATTATTTGCATATGCAAGTACATCACAGGGAATTTAAACCTTTATGCATATGTAGAAAGCACCAATCAAAAATAAGCGAATGGGGCTGGGGTTGTGGCTCAGTGGTAGAGCGCTGGCCTGGCATGTGTGAGGCACTGATTCGATTCTCAGCACCACATATAAATAAATAAATTAAATAAAGGCCTAACAACTACCACAACAACAAAATATTTTTTTAAAAAAAAATAAGTGAATGAATGAAAGGAAGATCAGTAGAGGAAGGAAAATAGGAAGAGAGTGGAGGGAAAGAGGAAAATAGGAAGAGGGAATCGGGACTGAAATGGAGTAAATCAAATGCATAATTTTGTTAAAATGAACCCAGCTTCTATGTAAAACTATACTGCTCTAATAAAGTAAAAAATATTGCATTCTATCACAAAAGTATTCACTTGGAAAAATTATAGAGCCCATGCATTAACTCTTTTGCAAAACGGGGTAACCCATTTTACTCTTGTCAAATCTCCAAGTTTATAGTTCAAATAAACGGAATCTTACCAGCCGCAATGACCTCACTCCAACGACATCCAGGAAAGATATAGCTCCACAATCAAGCACAAGGCTATGGATTGGTACCTTGGGAACATTCACTTTGACTGGAAGCTCAGAGTTCCAATCCACTTGAACCTCGATTTCCTTGGTTGGGATATCAAGTTCTTCAGGATCTTCAATATCTTCATCAGGCTCGAAAGCATTATTTGATGAACCAGCATCACTAACGATGCCATTCTAAATAAAGAAAACTCTGCCATCTTAATTGCCATTGATTTGAAATGTCTTTCAACCATTCATTTCAAGTTATTTAAAAGTCCTGAATACAGTGTTCCTTGGTAAACAAAAATGTCAAGAGAATGAACTCTTTTTTTATGGCGGGGGTGGGGGGTACCAGTGATTGAATCCATGATGTTTAACCATTGAGCCACATCCCCAGCTTTTTTTATTTTGAGACAGGATCTTGCTAAATTAAGTTACTGAGTCTGGTTTTGAACTTGCAATCCTCCTGCCTCAGCCTCCCGAGCTACTGGGATTGCAGGTGTGTGCCACCACACCCAGCAAGGGAATGAACTCTTAAGGAAAGAATTTTACCTCAGCCCAAACTTTGGTGTTCTCTAGGAAAAAATGGAAAAACAAGGAGCCAAAATATTCTAGATTTCTGGAAGATAGTAGAACTTTGTCAAGAGAGATATTGGTAGGAAAATCTAAGCAGAAGTTAATAGCTCTGAAAGTTTATGAACTTACTGCCTTCTATTGTAATTTTCTGGCATTGAATTATTACTTTTGTTCCTTTAAAATTATTTTTGAAGAAAAACCCTTATTTTTAAAATAAGGTTTTAAAATTAATACAGATGATGTTCATGCTGAAAAAAAATCACACCCTGTGTTTTGAGGGAGCCCTGCTGATTTCATTTTATTCCCACCCATTCCTCTTGCCTACAAGGACAGCTCAGCTGTTCTCTGACATACATATGTCATTCGTTCCTACACATCTGGATTCTAAAGGGGATAGATTTAATTTTAGATCATCTGACTGCTTTCATGGAGAAAGGAAAAAATTTAAGGGAGAAGGCTGGGGTTATGGCTCAGTGGCAGAATGCCTGCCTGGCACATGTGAGGCACTGGGTTTGATCCTCAGCACCACATAAAAATAAATAAATAAAGATTTAAAAAAATAATTTAAGGGGCGGAAGAAAGATGGAGCCTCACCTTTGTTGCCCTTAACTGTCCTTTTTTGATGAGTTTCTGTATTCTCCTCAATGCCTTCAGCCTCTTGTTATATACTCTAATGGCATCAAATCCAACCTTTGGAGATAAATGTCAGGTTACTTAAAATGTCTGGTTCCCAATGCTCATTAGTGGCAATTGTTATCTGAACAGTTATTTCTCAAAAGATATTGTTTCTTTGAGACACCCTGCCAAAAAAGAAATTGTGTATTCTGATGGAGTAGATCCCCTCTACTACCAGGTCACCCAACCCCCACCAGAGACTTGTGGAAGACAACAGCATATTAAAAGTTCCAAGAGAGTTAAAAAAAAAAAAAAAAAAAAAAGACAATAATGGCAAAAAGTAATCTCCTTAGCTTTAAAACTCTCTTTTCCAAATTTCAGTAACATCACAGAGCCCTTTTGTTATTTGCAAATTCTATGAACATTCCTCTGAACCAGTTTGCCCTGGAGCTCACTTAGGAAAATACTGATCCAGAGGCAAATTCCAAGTTCAAGTTCGAAGTTTAGAGAGGCATTCAAGACCAGAACTTCCTTCTTATGTATTCCTCTATTTACTCTTTAACTGGGCAACGGGTCCCCCCCCCAATACACTGCTTCCGGCAGTCTCCTCGAGGCTCACATGACTCCCAAGCACCTGACATGATCCTCTTTTCCTTATCCCGGCTGTCTAGTTTGTCCAACTATCTTGGACATCTCTCCCTTCTATGAACATTTTTTCACTTTTAAAACTATTTGTTAATTTAAAATAATCAAAATAAACCCAATATGTGTCAACAAAAATACGTTTTATTTTTAATGAAGGAAACTATTTTTCCAAATAAAAATATTTACAACAGTGGCATTGTTTTGCATAGTTGTTTATCTCTTCGATATCTGCCTTCCCTATCTGCTCCTCTGGGCAGTCTGTTGCACAACACAATTTACATCGCCTCTGGAAAACTCCGCAAAAAACTCTGCAACCAGACCTCTGCCTGTTGGAATCCCAAAGTCCTAGGCAGCTGTCCTGAGCAGCACTGCAGGTTCCCGGGGCCACTCCCTGGGTGGCTCCTGGGTGACTACAGTTCCTTGGTGCCCGCAGCGATTATAACGTCCTGGGAACTTGCCCCAACTCGCCAGTCCTGTCCCGGTAGTGTAGCCAGCAGTCCACAAAGGAGCACTTAACACTTTCTATGCTATTTGTTTAGAATTCACTAAATTCTGACTGGACTCACCTCTAGCGTTTTTGCCTGGCAATTGTTGCTAGATTAACATGTGGATTAAAATTCCCAATAGATGGAAACCACTTATTTTTCTCTCCCTATATAGTTTTTGAGGGGAAGGATATTATATAAAATGTCCATCATAAAAGGAATATGCATAGGGCCTTATTCCCAGTTGGAGCCCAACAAATAAATGAGTGAAATCTCAAGGTTAGAAACCAGACTTTGAGGGATCAAACACTTACTGTAGACTTGATACATTTTTTAAAACCATCGACGTTGCCATAAAAAATAGGACTCGAAAATCTAAGAATCTTCACTCCTTCAAGTTCTTCAATCTGGCATTTGAGAAAAAAAAAAAAACAAAAACAAAACAAACTTTTTGAGGTTAAATAATTCTGGCATCAAATCATCCATTAAATTTCTGGTTATTCTGCAAGGAGCCAGGACAGAATTGCTTAGGGGAGCTGGGTGGCAACGCCCAACTATTCTTTTTTTTTTTTTTTTGGCAGCTATGTAACAGGATTTATTAGAGTACTAGAAAGAAAGAAAACAAAGCTCTCAGGGCTGGGGTTGTGTCTCAGTGGTACAGTGCTCGCCTAGCACATGTGAGGCCCTGGGTTCGATTCTCAGCACCACATAAAAATAAATAAATAAAATAAAGGTATTGTGTCCAACTACAACTAAAAAGATAAAAAATAAATTTAAAAAATCTGAAACTAAGGGAAAAAAAAGAAAACAAAGCTCTCAAAGGTGAGGAGTCCCAAGAGACGGATACCCAACACTCAACTTCCCACAAATAGGGACTTGCTTCATCCCATTTGGGAAGTAACAGATGGCCAAAGCTCTGGGACTTCCACAATACCAAAAAAGGTCAAGTCTGAAAGGGCACAAAGAAACTGGGGCTCAAAATGGTGAAATGATTTGTCTCCAGTTCATACCGCTGACCCTCTAGATTTTTCTAAAATTCTTTGAGTAGTTTGGGAGGCAGGGGGCAAAATCAGGGTTTTGTAGAAACTGAAGCCTATGGTGTCATCTGCTTATTCGTACCCTGACACACAGTGGCCATGCAAAGAGTAGAATCCACAGAATCAGAATCAGGCTTTTCTGTTCTTTAGGAATCATAGCAGTATTAATCTGGCCCTTTGGGGTAAGAAAATTGAGGCCCTGAGAGGCTGAGTGACTTGGACAGTCTCACCAAGGCGGAGCCTAGATTTTAGAACTCCCAAAATTCAGGCTAGGGTTCCCTATGCCAGAGTCCAAAATCGTTTTTAGCTCTTGATGCACTTGGTTCAACATAACAAAGATTGTGAAAATAAAGTAGCAGCTACAGAAATTCCAGGTTCAGTGTCCAGTAATTCTTTAATATTAACATAAAATTAGACTATAACTTCCTCGGGCTCACATTTATGCCTTATATGTTACATATATATACACATATGCATATATACATATACACATATAAATATGCATAAGTATGGTTTTGTTTTATATGTTTGTTGCTAAATTTCTGTTTTCTTTAATTTACTTTTTCCACTTTTTCATCTGTTTCCTTTAATGGTCACTAAGCAATTGTATTTGCAGGCAACACAAGCCCATCAGCTTAATTTGTTTGTTTTTCATTTCCTGTGTCCTAATATTTCTTCCAATTTCAAGGATAAAGCAAAATATCAAATAAGCTCTTGATGACAGAGAACTTGAAAATCTCTTGTTAGAACTGAAAGAAGAACATCTTACAGGGATTTCAGGCATTTTCATAGAGGCTAACAATTACATAACAGAGAAAAAAAATTTGATTAAACATCTGGGAATAATCAAATTACCTATTATTTAAAATTTCTTACTGCAATGGTTTTTACATTAAAATGACATTCAACTAGCACAGAGTTCAGATAATCCATATGTCAAAAGATGCATTGAATCAAAAGTTCTTATGACATTTCCAGTATACTAAGGACTTTTCCAGCAGAAGTCTCCATCTTTGACCACCATGTTATGAACATGATAAGAGAGAACTATGTGACTCCTGGATTGCAGGCTAGCAGACCCATATCTACCAAAAATATCACAAAGGCACTTACATTTTTGTAATGCTTGATACTTTTGTAGATGTCTGTACTAGGGATGCTTCCAAGGCTATTCCATGAAGGACTAAAAGAAGAGAAGTTAACATCAGGGGTTTTTTGGAACAGCCATATTTTGCACTAAGAAGTTTTTTTTTTTTTTTTAAATAACAGCTACTGAAGAGCCCATCATTCTGGTGTTTTGGACTCTGTCTTTATTGCAGGTGACATTTTCCCAAAACTAACTCTGAAATGAACAGCTGGTGTTTTCGTGGAACTGGAAAAGAAACTAACTGTGACTCTCTTCTGATAGCTCAGAGAAATAATGAGCATTATGCTTTCACGTGCCTAACAATTTATAGGATAAGCAGAGAGCTTTCTCACATGTTAAATCTATTTGAAGCTCTACCATAACCTTGAAAGATCAGTGGTGCTATTCTTACTTTTATTAGTGAGTAAACTGAGATTTAGAGAAATTAGAAAAGACCCAGGGGTAAAGAACAGCATAGCCTCTGTCTCTTAACTCATATTTCTTTGGTGTCTGGTACTTATCTGTGACTTATGGCAACTTCCTGATGAAATATGGAGAATCTGCGGGTGATCAAATTAGTCTCTTTTTATAGAAACAGCAGCCTGGGAAGACCAGAAATAAGTCCTTCCTGTCAACCAGACTGTTGATTTCCTGTTCCCAATGCAATCAGATAAATTCCACGTTTCTTCAAGTGTGACTAGGGACATATGCTAAATGCAACTCCTAAAGAAAGACTATCTGTTTGGGGTCCTTTCAGCATTGTGCTTTCTGGATCAGCATTATAATTACTGAAAATTAAATACTGTGCAGTATACTACTTTTTGATGGCTAAAAGTCTAGTTACCAAACCAGGGGCTAAAATGTACCACCAATTTTTCCTTGGCCTGCTGTGTTGTGCTGATCTTTAACATAATACTCATAATGTAGTCTTCCTCTCCAAAACCCTTCTGTCTCAACCACACTCACTTAAGAAAAGAAAAAGACTCTGAGGCAGATATAGGAAGAGACATAGCATTCCCACACCCTCTTTTCTTTCTTTCTTTTTTCTTTTTTTTTTTGCAGCACTGGGGATGGAACCCATGGGTACTTTACTACTAAGCTACACTTTAGTTCGTTTTTATTTTTTATTTTGAGACAAGGGTCTTGCTAAGTAGCTGAGGCTGGTCTCAAACCTGCAATTCTTCTGGCTCAGCCTCCCAAGTCCCTGGGATTACAGGTATATCTACTTTGCTTGACTGAAAGGCAGCATCTTTCAATGGCAATTTCTGAGATATTTCCTAGCAGCAAATGAGGCACTCTGGAACATTATGTGCCCTTTCAGGTCCCTGGGCTCCCAGGAGGCTGAGGCAGAAAGTCACAGGCCTTTTGAGTAGATGTGATGTGCTAGGGAAAGGAGGAAGGATAAGAAGAACTGTTGAAGGAATAGGAGATGTAAGCCTTTGCTAAGCTGAAAACATCTATGTTGATGTTTTTCCAGGTTTCTTCTTCCTTCACGGCCCAAACACAGGCAGAGAAGAGGCCAGAAATCTGGAAAGACAATGGAAGAATTGAGGAGAGAGAGAAGCTCTGTTTCCCTCAAGGCCCAGGAGGACACTTACCAAATCCTCTCCAGAGTCAAAACAAAACCAAGGACACCTTCAGGCTCCCTGACCTGCCCCCACAGATTGTTTTCCTTTATTTAACTTGTCTTTGCTGCTTTTACTCTGCATATGAACTAATTATGTTTACTTCTCAGAATTGTGTGACTTTGGGGTTTGTGCCTTATTTGACAGATTTGAATGAATTTTGGCTATAATTAGCTGTTCTAAAGTTCCCCTGTACTGAGTTGCGTAACTTTTGGGTTACTAGCTTCAAAAGAGGAAAATGAGCTATAAATTTAGCAGTTGCTTTGCCTGACCTTGGACCCAGTGCCCACCTTGCATCTTATTTAAAGAAAAAAAAATGACAAAGCAACTTTGGCTGAACCATGTTTCTTTTAGTCTGACCATAGCTAAAAGGAGAGCACAGCCGTGGAGCTTGTGACTACATGCCTGGACTTTGGGGTGAGGTAATCTGGGTTCAAATCTTAGCTCTGCCAATTGGTAACTGTGTGACCTTAGGAACGGTCCTTTGGCTTTCTGAGCCTAAATTTTTCTAACCTGTAAAATGAGAATAAGCCATCTTATTCATAGGATATTTTTGAAAATTAAGTATGATAAAGTTTGTAAAGCACTAGGTGGCTTAATTCATAGAATCTCTCAATATATAATAACTATTATCAAAGGAAGAAGTTTCATGTAAACATAGGAAAGTAGAGGATGTGTTGTCCCTTTCATAGAAAATCTGGATTTTAAATACTCACAACTGAACTCGCAGGACCACGGTCAATAGTCCAAATAGAAGGCCAGCTAGTAAGCCCAGGTCCAACCCCAGAATGATGGACATGATGCATGTAAATACCCAGATAACCTACAGGGGAATGGAAATGAAAAGAATTACATTGATTCATAGGGTACTGTCAAACGTTAGGCTATCTATAACAATAAAATCAATCATTCACAATTATACCTTTTAAAAAATATTCTGACATCATTCATTTTATCCATCCATTCATTCATATTTAAGTGAAACTGGAGTTGGCCTTCCCAATAAAGACCAATTGTCCCATTTTATTTGTTTTTAAATATTTGAATAGGGCTCAAAAGAGAATTAATTTTAAGAGCTTTACAGTGAAAACTCTTGCTCACAATTTCTTTCCTCTCTCCACCCATTCCCAATCACCCTCCCTACATGTAGTCTCTTCATTTTTGTGGATATGCGCGCATGCGTACACACACACACACACACACACACACACACTTTTCCCCAGCATTTCTATTCTGGTCTCTTTTTTACACATCAATATATAGGAAGTTTTCTCTGTGCATGTGTGTGTCTAAATTAGAGTAAACTGTAGAGGACTCATTTCTGGCTTTTGTAATTCCTCAGAATAGTTGTGAAGGACATTTTAGTCACAAAGTCAGCATGGGGTTTTGTATTTTGTTTTTGTGTTTTTTTTAAAATTTGTCCTTTAAACTAGGTTTTAAAGAAAATGTGGTGTGTTGTGTTTTGCTTTGTTTTGGCTTGAGAAGGCCCAGGGCCTTATATGGGATTCTTGTTAGAAATCAGTCTTCTCAAAGATAGAGGAGCTTCACTAATGCAGTTCACATAGAATACAACAAGGCTTTTGTTTATACACACAATTCTAATTTCTGCTCTGAGGTTTCCAAAGTGCAGGTAAGATTTAGGAAACGGGGAGACTTAGTGATATGACAGGAAGCATATGAAAACCAAATCTTATTTCAGAGAATGGGTGGTGGGTGACTTACAGCATCAGTCTTATTCTGCCTCCACAAACGAGGAACATCACACACCTGCATAAACATCCCTTTCAGGTTGGCAATTACAACTGCTGCCAGGACTGACTGCCAAGAGAGACAGGGAAGGCTGTGTTATTCAGGGGAATAGCTTTCCATGTGATGATTTTTAAATCCCCTGTTATTTCTCTGGTAGCAGAGTGGTGACAGGAAATTATGCAATCAGTATGCAGAGAAGCAGGGTTTTACCTTCTGCAAGGGTTCCAGAAGCTTCCCCAGGGCAACAATGGCGATCATCACAATCCCAGCAGAGATGATGCCAGCAATCTGAAAGACATACACCTTGCATGAAGAGGGTTCATCCTCCTCCCTAGTGTCTTTCAGCTCACCACATGATCATGAACGATCCTGCACACAGGCTCATTTGGTGCTTCTCTGATTCCTCTCCTCCCCCAGCTTCTGCTCAATATTGGGAGAAATGAGCATCATTTGCTAAATCAATACAAAACTGAAAAAAAAGGAAAAACATATATATGTGTGGAAGTGTATGTGTGTGTGTATGCTATTGCAGAGAAATTAAAGAAAATGTGGAAAGTGGGCCTGCTGAAGTAAAGCTACTTTAATTAATGTGGATTTTATCGGATAGATTATACCTACAGTTTTAGTGTCAATTCTGGAGCCAACCTTCTAGTAGTTGCCAAGCCATGAAACATACCAACTCTCTCCCTAACAACAGAGATTATTATCATGTTCTTGGGAAATAAATCTCACAGCATGTATCTGATTGTTTTACACTGTTGAAGCAGTGACCACAATAGCCACTCTGATAACATGTTGTACTTGTAGCACACGGTTCCCATGAAAGTCTCAGAGAAAATAAGTTTATCCATTCAATTGCCAATTCATAGTGCCACACTGGCATGCTGAGAGGTGGGACCCTGTCTCCTGCTTCCTCTGATATTTGCACAGGTGCAGGCTCCAAATTTGCCCCAAAGCAGCTGCAGTGATGGAGCAATAGCAGGGGTAAAGAAGTCCAGAAACTTTACCTTCACTGGAAAATAAAAAAAGAGCTCTCCTTAGGTCCACAGATAGGAGAGAGACTGAGGGGGCGGGGGACTATTCTCTGGTTTGATCAGATGACCAATGAATTCTCTCTTGAGACAGCTGGGGCAGGGCCAAGGTGGAGACTAGAAGCTCTGAAACAGAGGAGAAAAGAAGACAGGAAACCAGAAGCAAAGCTGTCAGAGAGGAATCAACAGGGAAGATGGTGTTGAGTACAAGCATTGCCTAGTACAAGAGATCTGAGTTAAAGGAGGAGGCAGGCACAGCAAATAGAAAAAGGAAATTAGCATACTTAATTAGAAAGTATTTGCTTCAACTGGCAAATGATATTCAGCTTATGTTCATTTATGTTCGGCTTATGGCTGGGTCAGTCTGGGCATCCCTGTGATGTACGAAAATGCTCACTTTGTTTATCGAGCTCCCTACTGTATGCCTTTCCGGGCACCATGCCTCCAGGTTCCCAGCACTTTGGTGAGCTTTCCTCTTTCCTAACTAAACAAAGAAGTTAGTACCTTTCCAATGACTCATGCAATATTCACTGAGCCATTTGCATCTCACTGTAGATAAAGGCCTCTGTGAAACGGTGAGAGAGATGGAGATTTGCAGACAGGAACCACAGCCTGCTGCCCAACTCAGGACAAGAAAGCATCCTCTATTCACCAGTATATATAGTGAATAAGTCTCCAAATATGGGGGTCTAGGCTAGTTTTGAATATCGTTAAGATCTGTGAGGGGTCAATTACTTGTACTTATGGTATAAAGGCTGGCTTGTGGGAAACTCTGTAGATTTTATATCTATGAGCAGATTCAATTACCAGGGAATTAATTATTCTGTTAAGTGAGAGAGTAATCAGAGCTACAGAGTAGTTTGTAATCAGAATTACTTTTTTATGAATTGATAAGAGTAAGATAGAGTGAGAGAAAGAACACATGGCCAATGTTCAGCTCTTCTACATTGTAGAGATGTGCTGAAAACACCAACACTTTTTCTTCTATTCATTCCTTCAGCTAATATATGCTAGGTGTTTCTTACATGCCAGGAACAATACATGTATCATAGATGCTAAGATGCCATTCCTACCTTGAGCCCAGCAATCAGCACTTACTGGTATGTGCTTCACAAACACTTCTGAATCTAATCCTCTCACTGTTCCTATAGATGGATACAACTTTAGTCCATTTTATAGGTGCTGAAACTGAGGCTTCAACAGAAGAAAAAAAATATTAGAAGCCACACAAGAGAAGACCTGCCAGTTTATTTGGTCACAGTCCAGGCACATAGATGTTGAACCCCAGAACTTAGAATACATTTCAGTAATTAAATATCAAGCCATTTCTACACTTGTTTCCTTCTTCAGTGCTGAAATTCTGGCATCCATCATTCCTAAATATAATACACGCCAGTGTGTGGCAGAGGATATTAGCTTACCAGAATGCCATTATCCCCCAAGCCCTTTGCCAAGAAGGTCACTTTACATGGGCATTCTTACTGGGGCAGCCAGCCCATGACTCATTTGAGCTTTTGCACTGTCTGGTGAGCAGCACATCTGCAACTCTCATATAAAGTTTTTCTGTGTTTGGAGGTAACAGCAGGAGAATGGACACCAGCAGTTCAGGATTTGCCTGCACCCTCTTAGGACCACGTGCCCTGGAGAGCTTATCAATACTCTGTCTTCAATGCAAGCAGCAAGAACTCCTGCTGCTGACAGCTGCGGCATAAAATGGGCACAGCTTTGGAAATTAGCTCTGACCTCTTCCCCTCAACAACAGATCTCTGGCTGGTTATGCCTCCTGGTTTGGACTATATTATTTTACCTGCTCCCTCAGAGCTAGAAATGCTTGCAAAAACAACTTAAGAAAAATTCTGAGAATTAACAATAAATTTTTGTTTCAAAGGAGCCCAGACATTGGAAGAGGTCAATTCTTCAAACTCTGTAATTATCACAATCCATTATAAATAGGAGAGGAACAACCTGTGTACCATGGGGACAATTAAAGCTCTCTCTAGGCAAGCCACTGTTGGAGTCTTTTGTTTTCTCAGTTGTTCTCTTTCATAGTTATTTGTGTGTGTGTGTGTCTCTGCCTTAATAAAATGCTGTAAGAAGATGCTGTGTGTGTTTTACACTATTTAGTTTGGATCTGTTTTACTTTTAGAGTCTGAATGCACTTTTACTTTTAAATAATGCTTCTTCCTGTGTTAGGAGAATAAAACCCTTCAGGCATAAAAGAGGCACAATTCCTGAGTCTGTCCCTAGCCCAAGGTCACTGGTTTGGCATATCTGATTCTGTGCCTGGCTTTGAGAACCATTCCTGAGCTTTCTGACTCACTGGGACTGAGGGATTATCCAAAGATTAAGTGGGATGCTGGTTCTATGGTCATCTCATGAAGACAACCGACAGCCACATTTAAAAAGGCAAGATTAAGTACACATTCAGAACTTCAAGAACAAAAATCATACTCGGGAATAAATGCCAAAATGTGACAATACAAGATATTCTTGGCTAGCAAACTCCTATTCTGTGGGACCAAAGGCCTCTGGAGGAGGTTCCTGATCCTGGTAAAGGAAATGTGAAGAGAAGTTTTCACTTTCCTGAAAGCAAAATAACACAAAGCCATGAAGTGCTTTTACTGGGCCTTTACTTTCCCCAGGTTAGAAATTACTAACAACCAGCATTCTTCATCCCCATCCTTGGCAGTAGCCAATGCCCCTAGAAAATCACTCCAAGTGCAGTGCTACGTGAGCATTGACACAAAGGTTTATAAGAACTGCCATCTCAGGAAATCATAAATGTTGCTTTTCAAGAGGTTTTTGATGAGGGGGTGATTCAAACAGATGAACAGGCCCAAGTTGGATCCAGTGAGGAAACACAAGTCCCTCTCTTCTCAAAGGTCAACTGTCCTGCCTAGTTCTTTCGCAAGCCTTTTTGAGCTGCCATTCCTTGGCTTGTTCTATGTGATTAATGTTATCTGCTGTCATTCCATACCTGTGTCTTTCCCCCTGTGCTCTCTTGGACAGCTGTCCGGGACAAGGCAGTGGTGGCCACAAAACAAGAGAAGAATCCTGAGAAGATGTTGCTGATCCCAAAGGCAATGAATTCCTAAGGGAGAGAATGGATGATGTAATACTACAAATAGACTCTTTGTAAGACCCTCACCTCATGTTCAAAGGAAACTGCTAAATCAATCCTGCCTGGTGGTCCAATTTCATTTTTACCTTTAAAGGTATATGAGGATCTTATAAAACATCTGGGGTTTGGACTCCATAGAATCTAAAAGAAACTTCACAGCTGTTGAATGTACTAAAGGTTGACAAGAAATAGTAACTTGTGATCCTTTGCTAAGATGCTTTTACACTGCCTGGTGAGCAGCACATCTGTAACTCTCATAAATATAAGTTTTTCTGTGTTTGGATATTTGCTATAAAACATAATATAACTAGCAGAGCTATCATTCTGCTTGATTACTAGTCATTTAGCTGTAATTGCTATTCTGCTTTCAGAAACATCCAACCACAAAACCTGCAGTCACCTGACAACGTATCATATACTTACAAAAATTGTCCTGTATTTATTAATTGCACTGTGAACTAACCACAACATAAAGTGGTCATAGCTATTAATTGTATTTTTACCTTGTTTTGTCATATTGTGCTGCCATTAAAAAAGAAATGACCAGAAAGAGTTCTCATTCTGATCTAACATGATAACTTTGAGGGTTCGTTGTGTCCTGATTGAATTAGCTCTTTTAAGATTAGGATTATTTCAACCTATTTCTTAAAAAGCAAAGTGATTTGGGAGTGGGGTTGTGGCTCAGTGGTAGCGTGCTCACCTAGCATGCTTGAGGCACTGAGTTTGATCCTCAGAACCATATAAATATATTGTGTCTACTTAAAACTAAAGAATAAATGTTTTTTTAAAAAGCAAAATGATTCAGCATGCATATTTCAAAATAATTTCTAATTAGGAAGCCCGAGAGAAAAACCAACTCATTAAGGACTGCTGGAAAAATCCAAGTCTTTCTGTAGCAGAGACCAAAGTCATTCTTGTTTATGTTTCTTTCTTGTTTTCTGCTCTATAAAAGCAGCTCAGCATGAGGGCTCGCATACCTGGTTCCCATCGATGGTATAGTCGTGCTTAATGGCATAGACTTTTCCTACAGATACCGCAATAGCATAAGCCACCACAGCGATGGAAAATGATGCAGTCAGCATCTTGGAAAACAAGTTCACCGGGGGGAGTGCAGGAGGCAGAAACCTAGGAGTTTTTAAGTGAAAAATGCAGTGAAGATTTGACAACAGCTCCTTTTTCCCACCTCATCAAATGCTGCATCCACTCAGGCACATGAAAGAATGAAAGGTCATGATCCAAGAGAATGAAGAGCACATATAATGCATGAATGGCAGCATCCATATCCACACTTTTAAATCAGAAGTCAGTGCTATCTCACTGGCTGCTTTCTTTGAAAGCCTCTCCTAAACCTCTGACATGAATAAATCTGCCTTGACTGATTGATTCTTCAAGGCCATACGGCTCACATATTAGAATTTCTCCTTTCGCAATTTAAGCTTAAAGGTCTTTGAACTTAAAAGATATTCTAACCACAATATGAGATTTACTCGTGTGAAGAGATGTCATTTTGGTTAAAGGGACCAATGGTATGATATTAAAAGAGTGCAGTGAAAAAGCTGGGTGTGGTGGTGCATGTCTGGAATCCCAGTGATTCTGCAGCTGAGGCAGGAGGATTGCAAGTTCAAGGCCAGTCTGGGCAATTTAGTGACTAAAATATCCCAATGAGTGTGTGGTTAAATGACTACTGTTTGACAAAACTAGAAGTGATCTATTAAACTACATAAGTAAACCTATAATTTTATAATCATGAGATTGTCCCCAAATGTGTAAATTTGGGGGATGACCTTCAAGTACCCATAGCTTGATAACTATCCATATGGTGTAATTTCAGACCCCCCAACCATAAAAATATCTCTCCACCTACCTCATTTATGCCTGAATAAAGATAAAGTGGAAAATTAGATTCTTAGAGAAAACCACAGATAAATTTAGAGTTAACAAGAATCCTAGATATTGCTTAATCTACCTCTTTCATTTTGTTGATAAGGGAACTGAGACCCAGAAAAGTCTAGATATGAGAGTTAGATAGTGTGACTTTCTAGGTAACAAGATCTTTCTGGTTCTCTGCTCTCATTAGGCTTTCTCTTCCCAAGGGGAGAGGCTTAGTTTTTAGATGCCTTTTCTTCCCATATCCCATCCTACCTAGGTGTAGGCTCTAGCATGCACCCCATCTGTAGGCAGGCAGACAGGACATTAGAAACCCTGAGTGACTCACCATTATATCATCAGATAGTCTGGATATGATCTTAGACCTCACTTCTTAAAACCAGGCTTCTTGGGGCTGGGATTGTAGTTCAGTGGTAGAACACTTGCCTAGTATGTGTGAGGCCCTGGGTTCGATCCCCAACACCACATAAAATAAATAAACAAAATAAAGCATTGTTTCCATCTATAACTAAAAAAATATTTTTAAAAAGGCTTCTTTTTTTCTGAGACCCAGTCAACCCTACTTCAGGTAGCTATGGGGCCTCAGGATAACTTTCCAGCCCTGCAAAGAATTTAGTTTTCATAATCTCCTAATGTCCATTGCCTACCCACTGCTTCCTTCTCCAAGTAATACCTGATCCTTGATTGTTCAGGGTCACAAAGGTAAGGGGCAAACTTGAAATCAAAGGACCTCAATCTCTCTGTGAGTAACTTTATGACTTGGGCATGTTGTTTAAACCTGCCAAGTCTCGGTTTCTTTGGCCATCTAGTGGGGACAATGCACTGTTCTCATAGAATTAATTGCAGTATTATATAGTGAGGAATTAGTACCTACACACATATTAGGTGCACTTTAAATGGGGAGAATCTAAGTCTGTCATATTCCTGCCACCTTTCATTCTGTCTTGTTGGACCTTAGTGGTATCAATTATTTGCCCCAAGTCAACTGAAGCCCTGGCTTCTGATGACCTCTGCGTAAGCCTTTCCTCTAGTACTTGTCCTCCTTCAGTGGATATAACTCTTTACAAATTGTATGCTCACTCAGGGGGCTTGTTTGGTCCCAGCCAACCCTGTCTGACCTGATCATGAGATAACACTACCAAGAGCCTGAAGGGGAGACAGCATATGAAAACCCACTGATCTGAAGATGAGGATGGGAAGGCGTGAGCCCTGAGGTGCCACAGAATCCATGAAGAAAGTCAGGCATGTAAACATGGTGCTACTTCCAGTTGGACCTCAACATTTGACAAAAGTGCCAGTGCTCCAGCTAAAGGAGGAAAATGGCCCTCAGAAATCAGCCAGGAGAAGAACTTCCAGAATTTTTTGGCCACTCTCCCCACTCTGTGTCCTTCCCTGGGCCACACTTCCAAGTACAACCACAAACAGCATGACAGGGAGGAGCCCTGGTGAGGAGAGGACCAGTCACTGCTGAGAGATGAGGCAGGAATGAGTTTACATAGGGATTAAAATTTAGAGAATAGGAGCTGGAATTGTAGCTCAGTGGCAGAGCGCTTGCCTACCAAGTGAGAGGCACTGGGTTCGATCCTTAGCACTATATAAAAATAAATAAAATAAAGTTATCATGTCCATTTATAACTAAAAATATTTTTAAAAAATTAGAGGACAGAGCAGAAAATTGTGTTACAGCTTAAAATACAACAGTGACATGTGCCTGTAATCCCAGTGACTCAGGAGGCAGAAGCATTGCAAGTTCAAGGCCAGCCTGGGGAACTTACTGAAACCCTGTCTCAAAATAAAATAAAAAGGGATGGAGATGTAGCTCAGTGGTGGCACATTCCTGAATTCAGTCCCCAGTAACACAAAAACACAGCCCACCACACACAACCATGATGACAGAGGGGTAAATGAAAGCCCAGGTTGTGATAAGTAAGAGACTGGACACATTAATAGCTATAGGATTGGGCTCAGTTGTATGAGGAGAAAGGCAGGCTGTGATTGCTCTCTTGGAACGGGAGCTCCCAGTTTGAGTGAAACCTCAAACGCTGACTGGACATAGACAGGTATCACTATCTATCCTAGCTGGAGACCTAATGCTGGGTTCAAAAAATCTGACTATTCCAATAACTTAAGAAAATGGCAAAGAAAGCACACAAACACACAGAAGTACCTTTTCAAAATCCGGGGATAGTTCTGGGACCTTAGAGGTTCGTGGAAAGAGAGCCACTGGCATTCTTTATTCTTAAATAGGGGACACACAAGGGGAGTTTCCATGGAACATTCTATCCCAGAAAGAGTAAAAGGGTAGGATTACAAAGGAACAGGTGAGTGTAACTCAACCCCACCTGGTGACGCCTACTCCTGGAGCCATACCTCATTATCTGAGCGAAGGTAAAGCCCAAGTTATTGCAGGGCGCAATAATTGTTCAGTATCTCTTGCTCAGGACTTAAGGGCGTGTATTTCCGGACTGGCTCCCGACAGACAGGCTTATTTTTTTTTTTTTAGTTGTAGATAGATACAATACATATATTTTATTTATTTTTATGTGGTGCTGAGGATTGAACTCAGTACCTTACATGTGCTAGGCACGCGCTCTACCACTGAGCCCCAGCCCCAGCTCAGACAAGCATATTTTTACCAGGAAGGGAGTAGAGAAAAGGACAAGGAGTTACAGCTTTTGTCAGTCTAATGTGACATTTTTATTGGGAACCAAGCAATCCTAACATATGGCTCTGACCCTGAATAGGATAAAAGCAAGCTGCCAACAGCAGCCTGATTGGAGGCATGAGGCAGGGAGGAGATGAGAAGGTGGCACACCCCCCTTTCTCCCTCTCTGTTCTTCGGCCTTTCCCAGGACTCGCCTCAGCCACTTCAACATCTCTTTCACTTGCTCTTTTCCAATGTCTCAGTGCTACCCTTTCTTTCTCAGGTTTATTAATATTAGAATTGTTTTTATGCTACCAAGTGACATCAGATAACAAAGGCCTTTCTTGTGGCTTGTGTATAATGACACAGGCCTTGGTATTTTAACCCTTCAACAAATATTTTCTGAGAGTCTTCTGTGAGATAGGTACTGTGCTAGGGAGACAGAGCTGAGCAACACAAATGGGTTTATTGTCCTGTTGGAAGAGCTTATAGTCCTCACAGCCAGCAGGCTGTTAGCTGACCAGGTTGACCAGGTGGTCTGTCAGAGGATTCAGCTTGATTAAACCCAAGGCAAGAGGCTCCCGATCCATTCTCAGGAGAAGCCAGTCAGGAAAGTTTAGTAGAAGGCCGGGAAGGACAACTAAGGGCAGCAATCAACTAATAGAATATGGATTTGGGGGGCAGGGGATATGCTGCCCCCCATATCCACCTATAGTTTGTTACATATTAGGGGGCCTGACAAAAGGGATCTATGAAATATAGTTTTGTATAATTTTTATAACTACCCCAAAAATTGAATATTAGGGTAAAAACTCCATAACTCAAGTAGCCACATTGCAATTTTTTATCATTAAATTCCTCTCAGCTTTAGAATTCACTACTAAAATTCAGATCTTCTAATATAGAGTTTCCCATATTTATCTGATCAGAAGACTCATTTGAGGCAGTTTTGAAAAATAATAATTTCCAGGCCCCTATTCTGGAAAGCTTGATTCAATAGTTTTGGGGTGGGAGCCAGGAATCTTTGTAAAGACAGGTCTCACATGATTCTTACATGTGTAAGTTTGAGAAATGCTATTATGGGTAATATGTAACTCAAGTCCCATGTAGCTAGTTGTTTGTTTTGCAGTAATGGGGATTGGACCCAGGGGCTCTCTACCACTGAGCTATACTCCAGTCATTTTTTTTTTTGTACCAGGGATTGAACTCAGGGGCACTTGACCACTGAGCCATATCCCCAGCCCTATTTTGTGTTTTATTTAGAGACAAGATCTCACTGAGTTGCTTAGCACCTTGCCACCAAAGGGATCTATGAAATATAGTTTTGTATAATTTTTATAACTAAAAATTAGAAGTTGTAGATAGATACAATACATATACTTTATTTATTTTTATGTGGTGTGCCACTGCTGAGGCTGGCTTTAAACTCACGATCCTCCTGCTTCACACTCCCAAGCCACTGGGATTACAGGTGTGGGACGCACGCCTAGCCAACTCTCCCTTATTTATTTATTTATTTTTATTTTGAAATGGGGTCTTGGCCAAATTGCCAAGGCTGACCTTGAACTTGGCGTCCTCCTGCCCCAGCCTACTGAGTCTCTGGGATTACAGCCCTGTGCCACCAGGCCCAGCCATTTTTCAAATATTTTTTGAGGTGATTTGGAAGAAATTGTGAGATTAATCAAATGGGAAGGTAGCAGTTTCCTGTGGAACAAGCAGTAGGAATTAGCTCGCTTGAGTAGTTTCTATCAGGATCATGGAAAAACAAAGACCAGCACAAGGTGCCTCAACTAAGATTAAGCCAAGGGAAACCAGTACTTACCAATCAGCAGCAAGTCTAGTCATAAATGCTATAAGTTAATGTTACATATGTGATAAACATCTGGGATTCTTTTTTAACACCATATAACAAATTTATAGTGTAAAACGCTTTTTCCACTCTGCATTTTATGAGAGCTCTCACTGGCATTTCACAAGCTTGAATTGAGGCTTCAGTTGTTGTAATTACCCTTCACATATAGGCAACTTCCCGAAAGCCATACAACTACACAGTGACAGAGATGGACACTACCAAACTTATTTAAAACTCCCCTTAAAGGGCAGGGGAAGTGGCTCAAGCGGTAGCGCTCTCGCCTGGCATGCGTGCGGCCCGGGTTCGATCCTCAGCACCACACACAAACAAAGATGTTGTGTCCGCTGAAAACTAAAAAATAAACATTAAAAGTTCTTCTCTCTAGAAGGGAAATTGCATGGAAATGGAAGGAGACCCTCATTGTTATACAAAATTACATATAAGAGGATGTGAGGGGAAAGGGGAAAAAAAAATCAAGGGAGAGAAATGAATTACAGTAGATGGGGTAGAGAGAGGGGAGGGGAGGGGGGATAGTAGAGGGGAGGGGGGATAGCAGAATACAATAGTCACTAGTATGGCAATATGTAAAAACGTGGATGTGTAACCGATGTGATTCTGCAATCTGTATACGGGGTAAAAATGGGAGTTCATAACCCACTTGAATCAAATGTATGAAATATGATATATCAAGAGCTTTGTAATGTTTTGAACAACCAATAAAAAAAATAAAAGTTCTCTCTCTCTCACACACAAAAAAAAGTTCTTTTAAAACTCCCCTTAAAGAAAGGCAGCAGAACACAACAGACACTAGTATGGCAATATGTAAATCAATGGATGTGTAACTGATGTGATTCTGCAATCTGTATATGGGGTAAAAATGGGAGCTCATAACCCACTTGAATCAAAGGGTGAAATATGATATATCAAGAACTATGTAATGTTTTGAATAACCAACAATAAAAAATTAAAAAAAAAAACTCCCCTTAAAGATAATGCAACTTATGTATAGATACAAAAGATATAATTATTATCTAAGATAGATTAAATGGTAGAGAATTTAAGCCAGATGTCCCTGACTTCTCAAGCAGATTGTTCACAGTGCAATAAATACTACTGATCATAACTGTGTAATTCTATTGTGTTGTAATTATACATATGAGTTTAAATCAGGATTCTGGTGTTAAATGTACACATCCTGCCACATTTTAAGAAAATGAAGGGAAAAGAACATATATAGGGACGACTTTTAAACAAATGGCTTGAACTTTATCCATGCATGTGCTGTTTGTCTGATGCTTTGCACAAATAGGTGTTTCTTTAAGATCATACACAAATAGGACTACTGAAAAAGCACCAGTGAAGTGAAGCTTGTAATAAAAGGTTTCATTTAAATAGAAAGTACTGGCTTTATATGTTAGCATTATCTAAGAGAAACGTCATACTCACCCCCTTGGGATGGATTTAACAATACCAGCATTGTAATTTTTTTCTAAGTTGGCTCCATATGAAATGGCAGTGGCAATTATGGTCTGAAATAAAATAAAAGAAGATATGAAACAAAAAAATCCGCAATCCCTCACTGGTCAACATAATTAATGCTGAATTTTCTAACTATATGTTCTACTTACCACAATTACTTCTATAGGAATAGGAACTGGGATTTTGTGTTTAAATCGATCATTTAATTCCTTAACTGCCATACAGATGACAATGGTGAGTAATCCAGCAATGAAATCAGCAAGATTTGTCTCACCAATATTTTGAAAAATTTCTACCAGAGTCTGTAAAGAGAAAATAATCTTATATACTTCCTGCTGCAGAGACATACACATACATAAAATCAATTCTCTCCTGGATTTTCCCACATGAAAAATCAGATCATCAAACAATATGTGAACATTTTATGTTAAATCTTAACAATGTGTTGGTTAATACAGGGACCATTAAGTACATGCTGTCTCTGCTAAGTGTAGATATATACATGTGTATATGTAAATATACCCAAACATATATGTACATGTATGAGTATACACTAATGACAGTCTATTTGAAGAAGTAAAACTATGGGTGGTTTCTACATTTTTATTTTTTATAATAAAAAGTGAAGAGCTTTTTGGGGGCTGGGATTGTGGAAGAGTGCTTGCCTTGCATTCGAGAAGCACTGGGTTCGATCCTCAGCCCCACTTAAAAATAAAATAAAGATATTGTGTCCACCTATAACTAAAAAATAAATGCTTTTTTAAAAATAGTGAAGAGCTTTTTAAAAATGCCATTACATTCTTGTCCTTGCTGAAAAGCTTCAAAAGTTTATATCTTAAACTGGTTTTTACAGGTGCTATTAAATGGCCTATTTTTCACCAGCTGGATAAGGAATTATTGAGACTAAAAGTTAACAAACAAAAAAGTCCCACTTGTTTTCTTTTGGGGTGGGGGGTAGGGTCTCAATTAGCCAGCAGCTTAAATAATGCTTTTCCCTAAACCCAAATAATACAGGTAATAAAAATAAATAAATAATCCTAAAATACATCCATATGTAGATACAAGTACACTGATTTATTCTTTCTTTCTTTTCTTTTTTTCTACCTGGATATCAGACCCCCAGGGGTGATGTACCAGTGAGCTACATCCTCAGCCCTTTTTATTTTTTAGACAGGCTTTCACTAAATTGCCAAGTCTGGCCTTGAATTTTCAATCCTCCTGCTCAACCTCCCAAGTCACTGGGATTACAGGTGTTCACAACCACATCTGACTGATTCATTCTTCATGGCAAAGGATATTAATTTGATCTGTAGGCCGTGTATATATATTTTGAAATTAATTTGGTACAGAGTTTAAACTTGAACTAAGATAACCACTAAAGATAATTCTTTCCAAGTGAGCAGAGAAGCCAGGTCAAGAAATGTAAGTTTTGTTTTGTAAATAAGAAGTTTTTGGAATTGAGGGTATTCTTAAAGGAAATTAGCAAAGGAGTCTGCAGGAAAGAACACTAACATCTTTGTTATATTTGTCGTGTATAAGTCACAACTTAAGAAGACATCCCTTAAATCTTTGAGATTTGTGATGTCTCAGTGAAGCTTATTTTTCTTTGAATGAATCTTTATATAAAGATAAAGGAATGAAACATCTTACAGTTCACAACAGACACCTTGTTGATTTTTGTAGGTAATTAAAATTCTTAAAATAATTATAATGATAATCTGGTAACCGTTATATAAAGAACACAAAGTCATCTAAGAATCATTTTGCGAGCAACCTCAACTCTGGAACACATTCAAGAGTGAGGGAATGAGGGAATATTTTGCAAACAGAATACATTCCACCAAGAGCTTGGATGGGAGCTCAAACATTGAGCTTGTAGGAAGCCTTTTGGACTTTCACTCAAAGGGGATTTTTGTTCTTATTTTAAACCCTGTACTCCTACCAGGTACTGGGCTGTCTGCTTCCCAGAATCACTGAGAATTGCTGGAGGCAGATAGGCTGACAGAACAAGATTTAGCCAGCAGCCCCACGGTGGAAGAGAAAGGGAACTTTCAGGAGCTGACGCAACAAGAGCTTTGGCCATCACACACAGGAGCCAACCGCCCTATTCCTTACACAGAGGCTTGAAGACTGTCATTGCTGTTTGACCTTTAGGAAATCAATTTTCTAATGAAGACCTTCATTAATTCATGAGCTAGGTATAATATTTTGATTATATAGATTAACTGTCTATATAATAAAGGTTGACTTTCCAACTCAGCATGGGAAAATTCCAACTTAAAAAACAAAACATTTGGACTAATTATCCTAACCAAACAAATATTTTCACATTATAAAAATCAGTACAGAAGAGCTGGGAATGTAGCTCAGGGGTAGACCCCTTGCTTAGCATGTGCAAGGCCTTGTGTTCAATCCCCTACCACCAAAACAAAACAAAACAAAAAATCACTACAGCATAGTCCCATTTAATCTAAGAGACACTTAGACCTTTGAATAAAAAGCACTTCTTGCAGGGTGCAGAGGTACACGCCTGTAACCCCAGCTATTCGTGAGGCAGAGGCAGAAAGATCACAAGTTCCAGGCCAGCCCAGACAACTTAACAAGACCCTGTCTCAAAAGAAAAAAAAAGGGGGGCGGGGCTGGGGATGAAGCTCAGTGCTAGAATGCCCCTGAGTTCAAGTCCTAGTACCACCACCAAAAACAAAAGAAAACAAAACAACTCTGTTGGGTCAAAAATGTAATATGAGCTGCAAAAATCAAAATCAGTTCATATTATACAATTGTTTCAGCAAAGCATATACATATATTAGGTTTCCTACACACTGAGTAATCATTCAGGATTTCTTATGAAATGTTCTACAGTAGAAACTTTAGTCTATATAGAAATAAAACTCAGGGCTGAGGTTGTGGCTCAGCGGTAGAGCTCTCACCTCGCACATGAGAGACCCTGGGTTCGATCCTCAGCACCACAAAAAAATAAATAAGTGAAATAAAAGTATTGTGTCCAAGTACAACTAAAATAAATAAATAAATAAATATTTAAACAAACAAAAAAGAAATAAAAGTCAGCCATATAAACTGAGTCATAGGAAAAACAGTGGAATGAATCTGACATAACTTCCTATGTACATATATGAATATACCACAATGAATCTCAACATTATGTACATTCACAAGACTGGGATCCTAAATAGAATATGATAAATTCCATGCTTGTATAAATATATCGAAATAGATCCTACTGCCATGTATAACTAAAAAGAATAAAATTAAAAATAAACAGAAATAGAATGTACTCAAAGAGAGAAGAGACACTCCAAGGATGTACTGAAAAATAATGCTAATTGAGTTTTCTATAAAATACTAAAATCTGGATAAATATATGATCCTGTATTTTAGTCTAGAATTCTAACATAGTTCCAATCATGTTATTGACTTTTCAGTAATGTATAATATTTCACTATATTTCTTATGACTTTTGGGGAATTTTAGGACCATTTCATTTAGATAACTATTCTTGCCCAGCATTACCTAGGTGTAAAGCCATAGGGAAAAAATTACATCTGATCTTGTATATAATGAAATTTACTGGTTAACTTTGAAACTGAATTTATTTTAGTTTATCTTATCTCCATGAATATAACAAACCTTCATAATCACCTCTTGCCTTCAGGAACTTTCTGCTGTCAGATATTTTGTGTATATGTATATTACCCCTTAGTGTGACTTTCTGCTTTATTAAGGGTGTAAATTTAACATACTGAAGTAAGTGAGACGTTTGATCAAGCTAAGCTATGGCTTTCAAAACTCTCAGCTTTGGACAGAACTTCAGTGCATTCTTCTTCCTCACCTTGAAGCAAGTAGCATGAATTTAGTAAGCAAACAAAGAAACAAACCATTCAAAGTGAATGGAGGAAAACAACCACTTTACTTTAGCTACATGGTAGCATTAGTATTATTAATTAATTAGTATTATTAACTCTGAATTGCTGCCAACACCCTGTCATGCTCACTTCTGCATTCTATACCCAAGCATCTCTGGCATTTGTGAACTAAAGGTTTTTCTTTCATTCCTAAGAGTTCCTCCTTCAAATTTTTGTATTCATTACTTCTAATAATCAGTACGTCTTTGAAGGACAGGCTGGAACAAACCAAAATACATTCTTACAATAAAAATATTTTAATTTGTACATGATGTTGTAATAAGTTAATCACATTCCAGGCAAAGTATTTTATAATAATCCTATAATCTTTCCTAGAAGAATCCACTATTGCTGAATTTATTGAAGGAGACTCTTATAAATGCTTACAATAGTAATGTCATAAGCATGGGTCCATTCAGGGACCAAGTGGCTCTTTGAATTTCATGCAATAATTTCTAGACCTGTTCATTCTTTTTTTTTTTTTTTTTCCAGAATAGAATGCTTGCCGGGCATAGTGACACATGCCTGTAATCTCAGCTACTTGGAAAGCTGAGGCAGGAATATCTCAAGTTCAAACCAGCCTGGGCAATTTAGGGGGATCTTGTCTCATAAATACAATTTTAAAAAAGAGATTGGGATGTAGTTCAGTGATACAGCACTTCCATAGCATGCATGAGGTCCTAGTTCAATTCCTAATACCACAGACTTTTCAGAATAGAAAGTTTATATTTACTGTCAAATAGGGGTAATTGAAATTCTTCATCACACTTGACTGGCCTATAAGTAATTTCCTACAAAATTCTACAACAGTAAGCTCATCAGTTATAAGAAATGTACCACTCCAGTGCAATATACGATGTTAATAGTGGGAAGGTTGGGGATGAACAGTGGGTATATGGGAACTCTATACTTTCTGCTCAATCTTTCTGTGAGCCTAAAGCTTCTCTGAAAAGTAAAGTCCATTAGAAAAAATCCTATGGCACATGCTAAACTGAAACTTCAGGAATAATATTCAATAGGAAATAAGTGACACAATGATCATGTTTGGTTTTGAAATTGTGTTTGACCTTGATCTTACATGTCCATGTTGCTTTAGTCCCTTGTGAAACTGGGGCCATTAGCAGCAAGTTTCTTCTTAAACATAGTCCTAGAAGACTATATGAATCATTTCTCCTGTTCTCCAGATGTCCAGCAATGGCCAGGATCCCTGGTCAAGGGCTGGCTTATGCCTCCCGTGATCTGAGTGGATGTAGGCCTAGCACTGTTCTCGGAAGGGGTGAGCATAGTTAGTAAGAGATGTCTTGGTGGGTTTGTACTGGGAGTGAACAGTAACTGGCACATTTGGTAGCTATTCAATAAATCTTATTGCATAGGTCAGTTGAATGGATGAAAATGAAGGAGTAGATGAAGTGTTGATGGAGAAAGTGTGAAAGCAGCCGAAGATATGTGAGAGGCTGCAAAAGTGACAGAGCCTGTCTGAATAAGAAGTCTGAAGTTCTCAAAAAGAACTGAGGACTTGGAAAGGGGAAAAAAAATAATTCTGAATCAGAAAGGAGGCTATACTAATAACGTTTTTTCATAGGCTGGTTCTCTGGGAGGTAAATAATAACCTCCATGAGGCCTATTCTTCCATGATAATGAAAATAATAAAAACAATAAACTGAGTTCTTACTATATGCTAGATATTATTTTTAACGACTCACACAAATTTTATTTTAAAATCCTCTGAGATAGATATTACTATACTCTGAGAGATAGATATTACTATCACTCCATTTTATAATTAAAGACATGAAAGTTTAGGGAAGTTAATTTTTTGTTGTTTTTCTTTTTCTTTTTTTCTTCTTTTTTTTTTTTTTTTTTTTTGATTGATGGTATTTTTATTTGTTTGCTTATTTTGCAATACTGGGGATTGGACCCAGGGTAACCTAGCAATGAGATACACCACTATTCTTGTAAAATTTTTTATTTTGAGACAAAGCCTCATTAAATTGATAAGGCTAGCCTTGAACTTGGGGTCCTCCTGCCTCAGCCTCCCGAGTAGCTGGTATTACAGGCGTGATCCCCTACACACAGCTAGGGAAATTCGTAGTAGCATAACCAATCACATAGGTAGGTGGTAGAAACAAGACTCCAACTCAGGTTTGTTGAAGTTTAAAGTCCATGATCTTAATCACTATGTTGTTCTCCTCCTATATGTATTTCTATCATAAGCATACTGGCAAGCTTGGAGAGAACACTTGGGAATACTTATTGAATGGATGGAGTAATGTGGGATTGTGGCACTATTATGAAATTCAGCAAATTTTTGACAATATCACTAACTCTTTGATATGTATGCAGAGCCTTACATTGTTTTAGATGTTGAAGTTTAAAGTCCATGATCTTAATCACTATGTTGTTCTCCATGATCTCAATCACTATGTTGTGGGTAATGAAAGGATTCAAACCCCACTGGTACCTTATTTTTGCATGGTATAATTCCCCTCAAGCTAGAGTGACATCATGTTACTATTATCACCCATTTTTTCAAGCATTAGTAACAGGCTTTATATAGAATATATATTTAGATCCAAGAACTTCTTCAAATCTAATTAGTGTGATCTATATCCTTCTTTTGCATCTCTTTTGCATGTTGAGTCATCTTGAATTTAATGTTCCTTTTCATTTATAATTGCTGAGACATTTGCATTATGCATTTTATGGACTCTCATAATTAGAAAGGGCTAGAGAAATACATATCCAGTCATTTCATTTTTAAAATAAGACAGAAAAGAAGCCTTGAAATAATCATTTCAAAATAACAACTTTTTAGTATTTGCTATGTGTTAGCTCCTGACCAAGTGCTCCTCATCTATTCTTTTGTATGTGAGCCTGTGTGGTACTGGGTTTAACCCAGGGCCTCTGACTTGCTAGGCAAGCACTCTACCACTGGGCTATGTCCCCACCCTTCACTTTTATTCCTATTTAACAATCCAATCAGGTAGATACCATTAACAACCCCATTCTACAGAAAAGGAAACTGAGGCATGATGAGTTGCTCATATGACTAGTAAGTAGCAGAGTCAGAATTTGAATCCAGGTCCATCCAATTTTAAACCTGAACTTTCAGCCATTACCTTACTTGATGTATTCAAGGTCATTTATCTTGTCATAGCAAAGCAGAGACTAGAGTTCCAGTCTGTTGCACCTCAGAACTGTTTTATTTCAGCATATTGCTTTTTTCATAAATGTTTTTAGGTACAGTAACATTTCAGAAACCATTCTGACCAGTTGAGAACACTGATTTGCAAAATCTGCCTTCTTCGATGTTATTTCTGATTCTATTTCTTCTTTCAGAGAAAAATGTTTTCAGTGGTTACAAAAGTATATATGGGGACTGGGATTGTGGCTCAGTGGCAGAGTGCTTGCCTCACATGTATGAGGCACTGGGATTGATCCTCAGCACCACATACAAATAAATAAATAAGTATATATGGAAAACAGGTTATCCAGGCTCAAGTTAAATGGAGAAAGAACAATGACCCCTCCCCAGAATAAAAAGCAGCACTTACATAGATAATGGAGAGAACTCCATTATAGTTTTTGGTTGAAACGTTGAGGACAATCTTTAGCTGCGAGACCAGTACCTGGAAGGCAGCAGCTGTTGTAAATCCTCCAACCAATGGATCTGCCAAGTACCTCACTATGAATCCAATCTGCAAACCTCCAAATACCAGCTAGGATGAGAAGAAAGTAAAAAGTTAAAATGTTTTCCTGAGAAGCTAGGTTTGTGGCACACACCTATAATCTCAGCAACTCAGGAGGCTGAGGCAGGAGGAGAATCATTAAGTTCAGGGCCAGCCTCAGCAACTTAACAAGACCCTATAAAACTTAGCGAGACACTGCCTCAAATTTTTTTTAAAAAGAAAAGGGTTGGGGATATGGCTCAGTGGTTAAACACCCCTGAGTTCATTCCCCAGTATCAAAAAAAAAAAAAAAAAAAAAGTCTGAGAAAAGAACCATCTTTCTGGAAATATTAATAAATTAAGTTTAATATCAATCAAAACCCCTTGAAATATAAACCTCAAAGTATTTCTGTGTATGTACTAAGAAAAGCAAACATCATGTAGATTTTTTCTGTGACTTCCAGGTCCCGTGGCTCTGCTCACCAGTATATATACTTTCTTTCTCTCATCCTCAACTGAATCAGGCATTTTCATCTGCTTTTTTTTTCCCCCTTCTATCTCTACTTTTGATAGTAAGTAAATATTAATAAGTGAGGTCTTTCAAACTATCTTAACATCCGGCTAAGATAATGTATTTGGAAAATAACTTTTGGGTCCCGGAAATTACTTTGTTTTCCTTTTAGATGAATCTTTATGTTCACATGTTTTGAAGTTACTTATTGCAAATAAGAATCACACAATGGAGTTGGGGCTGTGGCTTAGTGGCAGAGTGCTTGCCTAGCATGTGTGAGGCACTGGGCTGGATCCTTAACACTGCATAAAAACAAATAAATAAAACAATTATTTTTTTTTAAAAAAAAAAGAGAGAGAGAGAGGGCGGCTGGGGTTGTGGCTCAGCAGCAGAGTGCTTTCCTAGCATGTGCGAGGCCTTGGGTTTGATCCTCGCACCACATATAAATAAATAAATAAAATAAAGGTATTGTGTCAACTACAACTAAAAAAAAAAATTATAAAAAAAAGAGAGAGAGAGAGAGAGAGAATCACACCAATCTATATTTTACTTGTATGACCATTACCTGTATGATTCCAACCAAAAGGGTAAGGGTGCTTGCAATCATTACTCTTGCAGTATCTCTGGCTGCTGTATCTAGCATGGTAGTATTCAAGGTACTTCCATTATTGCTGGACATGAGAAATTGTTCGTCGGGGGCCATACTTAGAACAACAGATCCCACCATTAAACTGACCACAGGGAAAGGTCCTGGGGAAAAAGTCTCTTATCATTAATCAGTTATTAATCACAAATATTTAGACTCAACACGTCTATGTAGGATTATAAAAATGTATGAAATAATTAGCTGTGGCTAGGAAAATATTGCTTATTCACAAAAGAAGTTGAGAAGTAGATATCTCAAGTCATTCATGATCCAGAAATGGCCACCAGACATGTCAGTAAGTGATCATGATACCCATTCAGGATGCTTTGTGAATACATAGGAAAGGTGTTTAGCTCATTCTGTGTGTGATCCTCTTGTGTATGGGGGATGAAAGTTGGGGTGGGAGTTGACAATTAAAGCTTTCCAGACAAAGGCATCATATAAATTGAATTCTTACTTGTTCCACCTAATTGTTAGTCCATAAAATATTAACTTTCTCATGTGTCCAGTATCCTGATCTCTGAATCCAAGTGCCTTGATCAATATCACAGGGTCCAAATTGGCAAAGGAAGTATGTAGTTTCTCTTTCTGTCTTTGCAAGATAAATTATTTTTTCATGTCAAATGCCAGTCTGTAAGATTGTAAGTTTTAAAAAGCTCTGATTTCTCAAGGGTTGTGTTTTCTCTTATATGTGGAAGCTAGAGAAGAAAAAGGAAAAGAAAGTTGGAGTGGGGATCTAATTAAAATCAAAGGGAGATCAGTAGACTAGAGAAAGGAACTAGTGGGAGGAAGAAGGGGAGGAACATGGGAAGTACTGGAAAATGATATTGGCCAAATTATATTGTTACGTTGTGTGCATGTACCAATATGTAACAACAAATCCCTCCATTGTGTGCAACTACAATACACCCATTAAAAATGTGGGGGGAAAAACTGATTTCTTCCAGGAAGTGTTCCATTCACTACTGATATTTATACCCAAGATGATCCTATTATTTGACCAACAAAGGGATTTGTTGTTGGGAGAACTCAGTACCCAAACCCAGTAACCTGGAATGTCTAAATGTAGAGAACACTGAGGAAAAAATAAACTCTTATGTTCCTTGCATTTGACATTGATGGATCTCCAAGATGAGAAAGTTCTTTCATTTAATAACCTCTTTCTGGTATCCTCCAGACAAGGCAATGAACTAGATAATGAGAGAGATACAACTAAGCACAGGGACATGGGTGGTGGGTAGAGTAGATGGTTATATTTGTTTCAAGAGGATCATCCAGGTAGACATGTCTAGCCAACAGATGGATACAGGAACAAAACTATCTTTAGTGTAAATGTCAAATTTGCACAAAATAGCATTAAAACATTCATTTACTAGAACATTCTAACAAAAGAGAACTTAAATTTTAGAAATGGCAGGAAAACCTTTTATGAGCCTTGCCAAGAAGAAAAATCAAGCTTGGTTTCTACATTTTTTGGCAAGATTTTGCTAGTCTTCCAATTTTAGTAACTTAAAAATCAGTATGCTCTTTAATTTAATGAATATGTATTTGATGAGTATAATTTAATAAATGCTAAGTTAATCTAGTAAAATACTGATTCAAAGACCTTGCGAAGATTTGTTACCCTGTCATTTTATATTTGGGAGAACAATTTCTAAATATAGAGTCAAATTTATTATATTTTTAAAATCAAAACATACTAAGATCTAAAGGCAGGATTTTTCAGTCTTTCAAATTTATCCTCTTAATTTTAAAAAGGTATGTATACAGTTAACTAATATCATTGACTAGGAAGAATAGACAAAGCATCAAAGCCTGATTTCCTTGGAAAGTATTAATAAAGATAAAGAAGACTGATGCACATAATATAGCTAAACACCTTGAACATGAATGAAGACAATTATAAAATATGTTTATATTTACCAACTGAGGGGCTGTGGTTGTAACTCAGTGGTAGAGTTCTCGCTTAGCAAGTGTGAGGCACTGGGTTTGATCCTCAGCACCACATAAAGATAAATAAATAAAATAAAGGTATTGTGTCCATTATTAAAAAAAAAATTACCAACTGAAATGTGTCTTGATGTTCCAAAGATGAAGTATGTCAGGATAGGAAAAAAAGCAGAGTAGAGGCCATATCCAATAGGAACTGCAGCTAGCAGAGCATATGCCATTCCTGAAATTACATTCAAAGTGATTAAATTCACAAACAAAAGTTACAGTATATTTAGATATGTAAGACTTTTCATTGATACTCTCAATTTATGGGTTCAAAACATCAGCCTGTCCTGAGTGGTTTCTTTATCTTGCATATAAACTGTGCCTAGGCTACCATGCAGCATATGATTTAAATCAGAATAATGATTTCATCTGTGTGCCTTACCTGCTCAAATGAACAGACTTGATCAGTATTTCCATCATTGACTGATCATATCAAGTCAGATATTGACTAAGAACTTAGTAAATTCAGGTCTGGGTCTGTAGCTCAGTGGTAGAACACTTGCCTAGCACATGTGAGGCATTGGGTTCAGTCCTCAGCACCACATGAAAATAAATAAATAAAATAAAGGCATCTACAACTAAAAAAAAAAATTAAGAAAAAAATCTTAGTAAATTTAGTGAAGGATCAGACCAGTTTTTGCATGTGGACAATTTTGTCTGAGTTCATTCACTGTCCCTCCATGTCCAGTCACTGTTGCATTTATCCTTCTCTTTTCTTTTTGGGGAGCAGATGTTAGATACAAAGCAAGAAAAAAAAAAAAAAAGACAATTGTGCTTAGCAGCAGGCAAGATAACTCTATCCTGGTAAGGGAAAACAACTCCACCAGTAGGCTATGCCAGCAGCCTATGGGCCCACAAATGTTAAGCTATAGAAAAATCAACATTTCAGTGTATATGAGGGTTGGAAGAGGATAATGACACATTCTTTTTCTTGGTTAAATACTTAGGCAGTCAGTATAGCTTAATCCATAGTACCTCCCCACCCTTCAGTCTCAACAAGAGAAAGTCAAGTCTTTTGACCCTGAGTTGTTAGTAAAGGCCTATAACATTTTTTTTTTTTTAACAGTAATAGCAACCCAACCCAAATGATCTGGCCTACAGGCACTCAAACTATTTTCTGAATGAAATATCTTCAAATAGGAAATGGCTAGTTAAATTATACTTCATCTATGGTATTTCTAAGTTGTTGATTTTGGGGGGGTGGGCAGGGGGAATGCATGTAATTCCATGAGATGTAATTGATGTGATGTATAGCAGGACATGGAAAACTGTGAAGTAAATTTTTTTATAAAGTGAGAAAAATAAAGATTAAAAACTGATAGTGTAGGCATGTTCCCACTCTTATTAAATTATTTGTTTAAAATATATATTTTAATATAAATTCAGATATGCAAAAAGATAATGAATATTAAAACACTCACGTATCCATAATCTAGCTTAAAAAATGTTATTGACAGTACCACTGAACCTCTCTGTATCCTATTCCTCAATCACATTCCCTTTTCTCCCTCCACCCTCAAAAGGCAAACATTATCCTGAATCTGGTGCTTATTAGTCCCGGGCATTTTGTATACTCTTATATAGATATGCATTTTTGTGTTTAGTACAATACTTACTAACATATGAATATCATAACATATGAATGGGTTATATGGTAGGATCAGAAAAGACTTCCAGTTTATAGAAGTGATTTTTTTCATGTTCCTTATATATATATTTTCTAGTTTTCTACGTAAGTGTTCATTCATTCAACAACTATTGATTATACACATATCAGGTATGGTACTACTGAGGTCTCTGCCTTGTGGAATTTGCATTCTAGAAAAATATGTATTATTGGTGTAATCGTTTTAATAGGTAAATTACAATAAGGAGTTACAACAATCAATAGTTCCAGGAACATGGATTTAGAATAAAAAGATGACTCCTCAAAAGGAAGACAATAAAGGAAGGAGGAGGGAATTAAAGCACAACCTGTTTCTAATGGACATTTTTCAAGTTCTTCTCAAAGTTCCATTTCCCTAAACTGGGCTCTGTAGTTTAAAAAAAAAAAAAAATATATATATATATATATATATATATATATATATATATATATATATATTTTTAGTTGGACACAATACCTTTTATTTTATTTATTTATTTTTTATGTGGTGCTGAGAATTGAACCCAGCACCTTACCTTGCACATGCTAGGTGAGTGCTCTACCACTGAGCCACAACCCCAGCCCTCTGTAGTTTTTAGTATGCCTGGAAAAATGGGAACTTTTTCAATATCTGTTTAGAAACACCTGCTACTCAAGTATATTGCAATCATCTTTATTACAAAGAAACTTGGTACAATACTTTTAATAAGTATTCAGTTTGTAAAGAAACCTAAGCCATTAATTTAAATTATGCAATCTCTTTGTTGGTCCTATGATGTGTAGGATGGTGGCATCAACTGCTAAAGCAAGTGCTACTAAACATTTGGAAACACCCAAAAGGCAAGTCCTCCCACTATGTGAGGACACAGTGGTCCCTCACCAGAAACTGAATCTATAGGGGCCCTCATGTTAGACTTCTTACCCTCAAGAACTACAAGAAACAAATTTCTACGTTTATTAAATAAGTAAATGTCAAAGATAGAAAGTAGATAGCAAAGGAGGGTCTAAAATTGCATATTAGAAGCACATAGCACAGCTGGACCTGATGGTGCATGCCTATAATCCCAGAGCTCAGGAGGTTGGGACAGGAGGATCACAAGTTCAAAGCCAGCCTCAGAAAAAGCAAGGTGCTAAGCAACTCAGTGAGACCCTGTCTCCAAATAAAATACAAAATAGGGCTGGGGATGTGGCTCAGTGGTCAAGTACCTCTGAGTTCAATCCTCAGTACCCATGCCCCAAAAGAAACATCTAGCACTTGCCCATTTCACCTGGGTTAAATCTCTAGGAGTGTGTGCGTGCACACACACACAACAACAACAACTGAACTGCAAGGCATAAGGGAACAGAAGTTTCCCCTTCAAAACTGTGGTTTGGGGAGCCAGCTGTAAGAGTCCAGGGGAATAAGCAGCCATGTGTGATTTCACTTAGGAGCTAAGTCACACTAAGTAGAGTCACGAGCAGTACATTGTGAGGGGACTGCCCACCACTTTCCCCACAATAGATATTTATGATTATATAGCTTCTTCCTGCACCAGTATACACTACTTATTTCTTGGCTCACCTCCTATGGTCCAGAAGAGGCAGCAGAGGCCATTCACTCTGCCACCTTTGTTTATTCCTAAGCTTTTGAGTTATGGATATTAATCCTCTGTCAGAAGAACCCCAGATAGACATAACCAGAAAAGAATGTCTCCATAACATGTAGTTAAACAAAGTACAGAATAAATAAATAATATTAAAAGCTGCAAAAGAGAAGCATAAAGTCACATTTAAAGGCAGACCCATCAGAATTAATTTCTCTGTAGAAACTCAAAAGTCCAGGAGAGCATGGAATGATGTATCAAGAAGATATAATGATTATAAATATATAGAGATATATGCTGAATCAGAGCATCCAATGTTATAAAACAAAAACTACTAGACATAAAGGGAGAGATAGGCCACAATGAAATAATAGTTGGTGACTTCAAAACTTCACATCATCAACAGAACATCCAGATTAATAAAAGAAAAAGAAAAAAAATCAACAAAGAAACATTGAGTTACGGATCAAATGGAATTAAGAGATATCTATAGAATATCCCATCCAATAGCTGTGGGATACACATTCTTTTCATAAGCACATGGAACTTTTCCTAGAATAGATTAGCTATTAGAACATAAGTTATAATATTTTTTTAAAAATTGGAATAACTTCTTGCATATTATCAGATGATAATGGAATGCAAGTATAAATCAACAGCAAGACAAACTCCAGAAATTATACAAACACATGAATAATTTAAAATACACTTTGAATGAACAGTAGGTTATTGGAGAACTTGGGGAGGGGTGGAATTAAAAATTCCTAGAATAAAACGAAAATGGAAACTCAATCTACCAGAAACTATGGTATACAGTGAAAGAAGTACTAGTAATGAAGTTTATATCTATGATTGCCTACATTAAAGAGAGAGAGAGAGAGAGAGAGAGAGAGAGAGATATCGATCTCAAATAATAACCTAATGATGTATCTCGAAGTCTTAGAAAAACAAGGGAAAACTAAACCGAAAACTAGTAGAAGGGAAAAATAGTATAGATCAGGCAGAAATAAATGAAAAGAGACTAAAAGAACAATACAAAGAATCAATGAAACAAAGGTGGGTTTTTAAAATTTGTTTTTTGTGGTATTGGGGATTGAACTCAGGGCCTCAATGTTAGGCAAGTTCTCTTCCAATGAGCAACACCCCCAGAAAAACAAATGAACAAATTCAGCAAAGAAGCAGAATGCAAAATCAACATTAAAAAATCAGTAGCTTTTCTATATTCCAATAATGAACTCACTGAGAAACAGGAAAGCAATCTGATTTACAATAGCCTCAAAAGAAAAACAGAAACCCAAAGAGTAGTAAACTTAACCAAAGAGGCAAAAGATCTCTACAAGGAAATGGTACTGGGGAAAGTGGATATCCACATGTAGAAGATTGAAACTTGACCTTTATCTATCAACCTGTACAAAAATCAAATCATAATGGACCAAAGAGACCTCAATGTAAGACCTGAAACTTTGAAACTGCTAGAAGAAAACTTACAGGAAACATTTAAAGATATTGGCACAGGAATGATTTCCTGAATAGAACTCCAATAGCTCAGGTAACAAAAGCAAGAACTGACAAATGGAGATTACATCAAATTAAAAACTTTTTCATTGCAAAGGAAACAATCTACAGAGTAAAAGAGAACCTACAGAATGGGCAAACATCTTTGCCAACTATTCTTCTGACAGAGGATTAATATCCAGAACTCAAAATCGTAACAACCTAAGAACAAATAATCCAATAGTAGAAACGAAGGTGGGAGTGAGGTGCGCCTCTGTAGTCAGGCTGAATGGCCTCTGCTACCTCTGCCAAACCATGGGAGGTGAGCCAAGAAGTCAGACCACTCAGGACACAGAGGTGGTGAGGTGGTGGTGTGGGCAGCCGTCAGGGACCTGAGTGTGGGGAGCCTGCTGGCAGCTGGCCTGGCCTGGCCAAACTGGAATTGCTATTCTTGGCCACCGCAGGGCAGTCCACACTGTCTTCCAGAATCCTTATCACACAGGAAGAACATTTTCCTGACATTTAGGTGCTTTTATATTCATCTCAAAACACATCCTGAACTCAGGACCTGGCAGGTATTCTTATGTTGTCTTCCAGAGTAGGTAGTCCTGCTTGTCTCATCCAACCACTTTCCCTATTAAAACATGGATATCTTTCTACACATTACCTCCATGGTTTGGAATGGAAAAGACTGCTTTTCTTTTGTTCCACCTTTCAGATTCAATACAGAAAGAAGCCCTTAGGATGCAGTTATCCTTCATCAGGAAGGAAAAAAAAAAGTAAGCAACTGATAATGCGTCATCTTCTGTAGTTTGCTAATTATTGAGAAATTATTCTGCAAGCTGAAGGCTGATGTTTAATTTGAAACAGGTGCTTAGGATGTGGTACTGCCTGGTGAGCCCATTCCTCAGGAATTGTGCTTTTCTCTCAGACAACTTCTAAAACCTCCCCTACTTTCCTCAATACAACCATTTCTCTCTTCACCAGAGTAGAAGAGGCACATCTCACCTTTTCATTGAAAACATGGAATCCAGGAGAGATGCTCCCAGGTTGCTTTTCATCAGAATTTCAAGCCTCTCTGAATCTGCACACTTTGAACCAACTATCTTCCTTTGAAATGGAGGAAATCTCCTCCTTGTCCTTAAGGAGTAATAATCCCACTTCTGTCCAGCAACCTATCCATATTTGCCTCCTTCTCATGAATTTGCTTCTAGAAATTTCTCCTTTACTTCTTGAACCACGGATCTCTTTCTTTCTATGAGGTTATTCCTTCCATTTCACAAATAAATTCTAGTAGCTCTTGTATTAAAAGGAAAGCAGATCTTTCCTTCACTCCACCTGTATCCTTTATCTCCCTCCAATTCACAGCAAAACTTGCTAAAAGCAGTCCTGAATTTCCATGGGAAGCTTTATCCTTTTTTGTTTTAAACTTTTCTCTTTCCTTCTGGTCCCTCATTCCTTTGATCGTATCTTTTTCTCCAGCTTTCTGAGTCCAACTTCCTCAAGTTGTTTGTTACCCCTTCTCATTTTCCTGACCTCTAAGTACACCAGCCCTCTTCTCCCCATCTGCCCTTCTTTCCTAAGTAATTGCAGACCTTTCCATTCCTTTAATCCCGCCCTCCCCCCCCCACCGCCTTTTTTTAAAGGTACCAGGGAGTGAACCCAGGGCCTTGTGCATGCTACATAAGTGTTTTACCACTAAGCTACATCCCCAGCCTGTCCTGCCACCTGTTCCTTTAAATATCACCTCTAAAGTGATGTGACATTCAGCCCAGGCCTCAACTTTGATCTTTATACTTGTAAGAGTTCCAACTTCTGTTTGGAATCTCTATTTAGATGTCTCATGTGTATCTATCTCAAACCTAGATCATCCAAAAGGAAACCCTTGGTTTGTCATTCCAAACCTGCTTCACAGCCAGTTTTTGCCCCCTGCCCCTGCCCCTGTACCTAGGGCCTTGTGCATTCTTGGTATGTATTCTACCACTAGGCTACATCCCCAGCCCTTTTTAAAATTTTATCGAATCAGGGTCTCCCTAAGTTGCCAAGACTGGCTTTGAAGTTGTGATTCTCCTGAGTAGCTGGGATGACAGTTGTCTACCACCAAGCCTGGCTCAGTCTTTGCCTTTTTGTTTGTTTGTTTGTTGTACTGAGGATTGAACTCTGGGGCACTCAACCACTGAGCCACATACCCCAGCCCTATTTTGTATTTTTATTTAGAGACAGCAACTCACTTTCACTGAGGCTAGCTTTGAATTTTCCATTCTCTGGCCTCAGCCTCCTGAGCCACAGGGATTATAGGCATGCGCCACTGCTCCCGGCAATCTTTGCCATTTTAATAAATGACATAACCATCCACCCAGTTGCACAAGTCAACAATCAAGGAGTTGTCTGTGGTTTTTATATGCACTTATCAGTTATACTGGTGAGTTCTTGCTGCAAAAAAAATACTTCAGATGTTGCAGATCTCACCATGTTCTGCTTGATCTGGTTCAAGCCAAATCACCTATCCTAAGGGCTGGGTTTGGGGTGAGGCAAGTGAGGAGCCTAGGGCACAATATTTAAAGAGGCTCCCTGGGAGTGAATGACCCTCTTGCCTGGCCCTAAACCCTGGCCTTCCTAACCTTATCTCATCTTTACCCACCCTCCCTCGCTGTACTCCACCTAAACCAGAATTTTTCCTGCTCCTCCCAGATCTAGCCCAGGCCCTGGAAAAGACTAAGCACTTTTTGCCCTCATGGATTTTACATCTTTACCTGGTGCCCTCTTCCTCCTGCTCAGCACTTGGCTGCCTCCTTCTCTTCCTCTGGTCTCTGTCTATAATTCTACTTCTTCAACTCGGCCTTTTTTGACCATTGTATCTAAAATAGACCTTTCCTCTCAAATTAATTCCTATTTTTGGCATTTCAACTCCACCACAATGGTTGTCACAATCTATAAAATATTTTTTATTTATACACTTAATTATTTAATTCCCAGAACTACCACTAGAAAGGAGCTCCATGAGGTCAGTACCCGTACCTGTTAATAAATCATTGAATCTCATGGCTCAATACCTGGCATACAGAATTAGTCTACAAACATTGATTACACAAATGAATAATAAACAAATATATGAATGAGCCAGACTACCCTCCCAGAAAGTTATCTTATAAAGATAATGTTTCTGGAAAAACCACGTATAAAGTAAAGAACATACAATGTACAAGTTAAGATCTTAGAAATTAGACTCTGAATTCAAATTCAGCTCTACCACTTGCAGCTCCCTGAACTTGGGGAAGATTTAATAGATTTCTCATCTATTGAAAAAGGAGATGATAATAGTACCTACCTTGCAGGGTTGGTGTGAGGATTAAATGAGATAACTAGGCAATATCTTTTGTATAGTTTCTAATACAAACTAAATAAAATTAATCCATAGACTAAATACTTGTCTATGAAAACTCAGGAGACCTGGATCTTGAACTACTATTTTCATATATAACGACAATTAGTTATCAACAATTCAATCCTCTTCACTAAATATTTATAGGGCCATCTATTATGTACCAATTTCTATGCTAGGCAAACATGAACTGCTAACCAACTGCTAAGCAAACATGAACTAGACATGCATGGTTCCTGTTCCCAGGAGCACTGGATGTTGCTTTGTCAGTCATTAGAGCCAGCTGCATAGAGCAATGCCCCATTCTGTTCTCCCTCCTATGGCTTTAGGAGTGAGACCCCACATTGGGACCAACAGAACATTCTCCCCTGTGGGAATCTACCTGGCCTGCTCTGAATAATCTGGAGCGCTCCGTAACCAAATTTTAGCTCAACACAATATTATTTACCATGTATTACTAACTTCAAAGTAGTCTGTTTTCAAGCCACCTTTCTACACACAGCCATACCCTCCACTACTTCCCATCAGCTGAGACTCAGACTTAACCTTCAGGGAAACAACTTTGACAACTTAAGTTCCAGGAAGCCATTCCCAATCCCCTGATTGGGTTGTGGGCTCCTCGATGGCACCCCATTAGCAGGCAATGTTGCCCCTGCCACAGCCTTCAACACACTAAATTGTGAGCCTCCATTTCTCCACTAAACTATGAGCCCCTTGAAAACAGGTGGTACATCTTATTCTTGTCAGTGTACATCCTAGGTGCTCCATAAAATTATAATAAATAATGAGACTTCTTTTCCATGACTTGGAGGCTTTGAGGGATTGGACAGGATGGTGGTGCCAGTAGTGCTGAAACAAGATAGTGAGGATGAGGGGCAGAGGAGAATATCTATACTGTTACACACAAACTATGCAACAGATTTCTAAAATGCTTATGGAAATGTTATGGAATAAATCAAGTTCCAAAATAAAACAAAAAAATCTCACCTGTGTTGGAACATTTTCCCAGAAGATTAAAATAAGAGGATGGCTAAAAGGGGAGTGGAATATTCATGTATGTCCAAGCTAAGACACTTTGTTTTTAATTTCCTTTAAACCAGTTTCACACTACAGGTGAAGATCCATGCGTAAAATGTAAAATAATTTAATGAGCTAAAATAATAATTTTAAAAAACCAGACTAGAATAGGACACATTATAAGGTATTAATACAATGAGAATAAACATTATTTCACAAAAATTTAATTGTGATTAAATTTATTTAATATTTATTACAATAAGTTGTGGTTTATAGGGGCTGGGATTGTGGCTCAGCAGTAGAGTGCTCACCTAGCACAAGTGAGGACCTGGGTTTGATCCTCAGCACCACATAAAAATAAATAAACAAAATAAAGATATTGTGTCCAACTACAACTAAAAAAATAAATAAATATTTTAAAAAATTGTGGTTTATAAATGTGCAAAGCCACGGTTTGGTATATGCCTCTAAGTTGGAGCCACACAACTAGAGAAGCTATAGCATTTCCCAGGAAAAGAACTCAATGAAAGAGGAGAAAAGAGGTGAATTTTCCCACTGAGGGACTCTAGAGGAAAGATGAAGGCCTTGAAGGGGGAGTAAGCATTTGGTACAGAGCCATGGTAGAAGGAGTGGGGCCAGGCCATTGTGGACTACAGCAGAAGACAGTATCTCTCAACTACTTGAGACCCAGCCCACCAACATCTTACCTTGCAGTGTACCCACAAGTCCAGTACTAACTCCTGAAATGATATCACTGAGCAGCCATTCCTTGATTCGGTATTTGGGGAGCCAGTCCAGGATGGGCAAGAGAGACTTTAGCACACCAAAAGCTCTCTTTCTTGAACAACTGTCAAAAAATGAGAAAGCTGGGTTTCCAATTCAATTTCAGTCATAATCAATTGTAAATCCTAGAATTATAGAATGAACTCCTCTGATGTTTCTAACCATTTAGAAAAATAATTTATGGAAAATACTAGCACTGGAGAGCTACCACGATTTTGCCAAGAACTGTAGCTATCCTTTTAAGTGCACTGTACTAGGAAACACAGGATTAAATGACCCCTCCTCTCCTCCACCTTTTTAATCCTGTGAGAAAATATCCCTACACAAGAACCCATTTTCTGGCCCAGCCAAAGAGGGATCAATGTGGAGTCTCTAAGTGGAGATTAATTTTTAGACTTCTAACCTAGTACTGCCTTCTTTTTTTTAAACAAAAATAAACACACTGAATATTTTGGCAATACAAGCTTGGAGTCAGTTAAGAAAACCTTAACATAATAAATGTATACCTTGTAGCAACTTTAAATTCAACAACCTACACACATAAGAGGAAAAATATCAACAATAATAGATAAACATTTGACTCATAATAGAAAATTGTGTTTTTAAAAATGATGACATTTATGAAACAATTGGAAATGTTTAATGCTGAGCCAATGTTTTTATGTTAAGGAATTGGTTTTAGGTAGATAACAATATGTGGATATATAGAAAGAATATATATATATATATATAATATAATGTATATTTTATACATTATGTATAAGTTATACATAGATATTTTATATATAATTTTATGCAATTTTTTTTTTGGTTCTGGGGAATGAACCCAGAGGGGCGCAAACCAAACCCAGACAGGGCCTTCCTAAATTACTGAAGCTGATCTCAAACTTGTGATCTTCCTGTGTCAGACTCCCAAGTCTCTGGGATTACTGGACTGGGACACCACACCTGGCTTGTGGTTATGTTTTTAAAGAGTTCTTAGAGGTACATACTAAAAGATATATACAGTGGGCCCTCCTTTTCCATGCATTCTGAGTTAACCACAGATCAAAAATCAGGGGGAAAAATTGTGTCTATATTGAACATATGTAGATTCTTACTTCCTAAGTAGCACAGTATAACAACCATTTACATATGTTGGTATTACAAGTAATTTATATATATTATAGCCATTTTATATAAGGGACTTGCGCATCCTTAGATTTTGGTATCTTCCAGATTCCTGGAGCCAATCTCCTATGGATGTCAGGGTAGAACTGTAACTGAAAAAGATACTACATGGGATTTCCTTCAAAATATTGGAGGGGTAAGGGAATGGTTGTAGGTAAAATAAGATTAACTGAGTTGGTCATTGTTGAAGCTAGGTGATGAGTAAAAACTTCGCAGGGGGGATTATTATACCTTTCCATATAATTTAAGTGTTGCATAATAAAAGGGTAAAAAAAAAAGAAAACAAAAATTTGCAATTAGTTGACTGTTTTCTAAGTTCTTCATGTTTGGATTTTCTAATTCTGTGTGGCACATTTGGGCTTAGAGACAAGGTGGTTCTCTGTAGGGGTCCCCCCTCTCTCCTGGTGAAGTAATTGGAGTACACCACTTGGAGCTGTTTTCTTTCATCCAGGTCTCTAACTAAATGGTATCAACCCGCATTCTCTTGAGGGTTTCAAGGACTCCTGGCCTGGTGGTGGGTTTATCCACCATTTCCTTTAAATGAGCCGTTTTCTTCCCTTCTTTCCTCATGCTGTCCTTCAAAAGAAGGCAACACAGAGACCCACAGTACCTCAAGGTACACTCCAGGTTTCATCAAGAGAAAAGAGATGGGGCTCCGGGAACCCACTCCCTCCGAAGGCGAGTTTCCCCAGGCAAGAGTTACAGTGATTCCTGGCGGGAGACTGATGGAGCCACCGTCGGACAAGGAAAGGTGGCATCGGGGTGGTGAGACTCAGAATCAAGTCTCTAAGAGAAGCGCCGGGCAGTGCCGCGGGTAGGGCGGGAGCCCCCCACCCCGCACACCCAGACGCCCCGCTCCACTTCTCTCCGCGCCTCTGGCCAACTACCTGCAGCTCTTGGCCAGGCTCTCCCGCAGAGTCCTGCGCTCCTGCAGGCGCCGCTCGTGCTGTTGCTGGAAGGCGAGCTCGTTGTAGACCCGCCGCGACAACACGTAGCTGCAGCTGTACTCTGGTAGCTGCGGCGGATCCGATCTGCTGCCCGGCGCTGCCATGACCTGCGAACCCGAGGACAACCAAGAGGGAGGAGAAGCGGAAAGGGAGGACAATCGGAGTTGAAGAGCAAGAAACAGGCTGTTAGCATCTGTTAGCTGCCTCTGGGCGCCACCTGTTGTGGCCGACCGTGGCGAGCCTGGTCTGCGTCCTGCAGCCCTCCGCGCCAGCGACACGCAGTTCCACGGCACACACGGCCAACCTGGAGTGGGGCACCTGAGCACCTTCGTGTCCCGTGGCCTGCACCTATTGCCGGGGACTGCCCCACTCTGAAGAGAGGGATCCTTATTCTGAGGGCTTCCAGATTTGGAACAAGTCGCTGACTTGGGCAGCTGGGGCGCTGTCCGCGTCCTGAAATCTCTACAAACCACCCTTCGGACAGGGGCCTCAAGAGCTTGCCAGGGGAAAAGCGCCCTCCCTTCCTGTACCAGACCCAGGGCACTGTTCCAGGCACGTAGTGGGAGGGGTGCACCAAGCAGGGCGTGGGACCCCCAAGATGTGCTCCTGAGGTCTCGAGGTTGCCTACGCTGCAGGCAAATTCCAGCGATAGGTCCCAGCTCTCCTGCGGGGTAGAGGAGGAGGACCCCACGTCTTGTTTTCTAACCCCCTTACTGTCAGCTTCTCAGAAAGAAGGCTGTACTGCCCCCTGCCCGCCCGCAGCGTGCCCCTAGACTAGTCTCGTCCCAGGGAGTTGTGCGAGGGCGGGGCGGAGTGAGGTAGTCTTCAGCGGTGAACTCACCTGCTTCGCTCCTGCGCTCCGCCCGGAATGCCCCGGGACAGCCGCTCCGCAGCCTTTATAGCGCAGACAGAAGTCGGTGCGACGTTTTATTTATGGAGCAACAGAGACACCTTGGTCAAAAGGAAGGACACAAGGACTGGCGGCCTTTCCCCACGGACCCTACCGGGAAAGAAATCCTTTCCCTGCCGCGTTCTTTCCCTTTCCCGAAGCTGGAGGGCTGAGTGTGTTACTGGCTGTCACACAGGGGCCACCCAGATCTTCACTCACCCCCCAATTACTAAGGCGGGTGGCGAGGTCAGGGGCGGGGCAGCCCCTGTGGTATTCTTTTCCGGAGAGCAGCACCAGCTGGGAGGGCTGACCTTGATTCCTAGGTTGTGTGAATCCACGATCCACAGTCTAGCACAGGTGCTCTCATGAGGTGTGGCGGGCGGGGAGGAGAGGAGGAGTGGTTGGTTTTGTGTATTAATAAGACTTTGGATTTCTAGAAAGTATTTAGGAGTACTCAGTGGGTGATGGTTAGAGTGTTCATAATTTACTCGTAGATTTAGGTACATGTTCTGTGCACATATTTCACAAAGTCAAGTGTTCAGGTGGCCCCTCTGGTTCTTTATTTTTTTCTCATGCACCTGTACAATCAGGGAGGGAATAAGCTGGACTAGACCGGAATCAAGACTCAAGGGTGAGGGGCAGTCAGATCTATTCTACCTTATCAGTGTGTTGTCTTCTGTGGGTAAGTACATGCTGGGATAAATCTTGCAAAAACTAATACTTGATTAAGATGAACATCAAAGGAAGGATTATCACCTGAGTTTCAATGTTTTGAGGTAAAGGAAGAAGAGGCTTCAAAATATGGACCTTCTGAACACTGTCAGTTACCCATATTGAAAATATAGAACATGACTCATCTTTCGGCTCCTGGAAACAGTACTCCTCAGTGTAAATTCCCTAGTCAACACCATGCAAGCATGCGGTGTTTTTCTGAGGTATGACTCAACAGCTTTCAACAGATTTTCAAAGACTTTCTTGACCCAAGGAAGTTAAGAACTAGCTGGGTGTGGTGGCTCTGGCCAGTAGGCCCAGACACTCAGGAGGCTGAGGTGGAAGGATCACTTGAGCTGGTGAGTTCAAGACCAGCTTGGGCAACACAGTGAAACTTTGACTCTGAGAGGAAGAGAGAGGAAGAAAAAGGCCACTGAAGAAGGAACCTAAAAAACAATTGAGGTCATGAAGTGAATTCTTATCCACTTGCAGAGAAGAGGGAAAGAATCACTTGTGTGTTGTGGTTTCATATACCAGAGTTGCTTAACTAAAGGCTATTTTGCCCCCTCCCACCCATGACAATGTTAAGAGACATTCTTGGTTTTCACATCTGGAAGAATGTTACTGAGATCTATTGGGTAGAGGTCAGGGGTGCTTCTAAACATCCAATAGTGGAGTTAATCATCCTGCTAAGGTTTTGTGTGTGATTCAACTTTTACATTTACTAATAATTTCCCACCTGTATTAAATATACTCATCTTTCCATATATTTGTATGTGTGTATGTATTTCTTACAAATAGCACGTTGTGGTTGAATATATAACTCAGCTCCACTGAAATAGAGAGAAATGTTTATTTTAAAGTGGATTCTGAATATGCCTATATTATATACCCTTACACAAACTTTCAAGGTCCAGTTAAAATGCCATCTTTTCCATCAACATTCCTTGATGCTTTCAGTCAGAATTAATAGAACCCTTTTTGTGGTTTCTCTTGGCACCTTATCTGATTCTCTCTTAAGATGTCTCTCATAATTACCTTAGTATCATATTTGTATTTACCAATAAGTCTTATCTTTCTCACTAAACAAAAACTTCTTGAGGACAAGCAATATATCTCCCTCCAACAATTATTGCCTTCTATCATGTTCTCTAAACAGACTAACTTATAGCCCAAACATGTTTTTTAAAACTAAAAATTATATTACATGTTTGTCTACATTTTGTTTTTCAGGTAAGATTATGATATAGGTAAGTACATGTGGATTTTTCTAGCCTGGGCCAATGGCTGTCTAGGATTCCAGAATATCAACTCATATATACAACTTCACAGGAAATCACCTAGATAATTCAAGCCTTTCTTTAATTTAGGGGCATTCTGTACAAACATAAAGACAACCATATATTTATTTTAGTCTGGTCCAGTCAGTCCTCTGAACCACTTTGCTTCAGGACTTGGCAATGGTTTGGTGGTGATAGTGATTCAGAGGATTAAGGAGTGAGATAGAGATGGCAGAAGGACAGAGGAGAAAACAGACTATCAAATAACACCAGGAGTGAACAGTGTTAATTCTCTTGACGAATAAACAGAATTTTTGGAAAGGCAAATGTATAAGAATTCCATTCAATAATCACTATATGTCCTGCATGTAAACGGATGAAGATATTGCTTCCTTTTTCTATTAAATACTTTCACTATAGCAGAAATAAATAGTGCATGAACAGAATAGCATTTCCATTACAAAATTCTATAAGAGGATAAAAATCCTTTTTTCATAGGTAAGAGTCTGTGAAGTTGGCTGTATTTTAAAAACAGAGAAGAGTAGGAGGTGATAACAGTTTTCTCTCCTCACACAATTTACTTGTTATATTAAACACATAAGATTACTCACTTGGGCCTTACAAATCAAGCTTCACCTATTTTACATAGAGGTAGGTGGTTCTTATTTATCAGAATTTAATCATATCCAGGATTCTTTCCAAGAGATAGATGTGTCACTTCAAAATAAATGTCAGACAATAATACTGTTACTTTAGATTTTTAATTAGCAGATAATGATGATTTAAAATGTATATTCTGATTTATCATATCATTTGGAGTGTTAGATATACACATTCATTCATTCGTTCACTCAAGGGTTTATTAAAAAATTTTTTGTTGGTCATGGATAGAATGTTGAACAAAGTCATGCACCTAGCCTCATTTGTGGGTGTAGCAGATACTTACCAAATGGTCACAAAAAGTATATACTATTTCAATGATTTTAAAAATGCATATTTTCTACAATTTATCAGGATTCATCTTACAATTGATGATGTACAATGGTTCAATTGGCAGCATTTTTTCTTTCTTAGTCAAAAATAATTTTGAGCTTTATAATCAATGACATCCTAAAACTAATGAAATATATATTTCTATACTTTCATAGTATATCTATGCTTTTAAGTGACTATTTTTGCTACAAGAATGATTAGATTCCTTTGTTTATTTAAGTGCAGCTAATTTTGTTACATTTTCCTTATCTAAACAGGAATATAGTGTAAATTTTTTTTTAATTTTCACAACGTAAGAAGTTCTGTAATCAAGAATTGCAGAAGAAACATTCAAATAATGCCCAAAATGCTATTTTAAAAAGCAACCTAGAGTTTGATTTTTATTATTTTCTACATTTGAAGTGTGATGTATAAAGCCTATTTATTATTTTTTATGTGAAGTTGAATCATTTTTGCTAGGAGGCAGTGTTTGGAATTCTAGGGATGAAACCCAGGGCCTCCTACATGATAGGCAAGCACTCTACCATTGAGCTATATCCCCAGCCCCAGTTATCCACACTTAAAACTGAAACCCTGCTCACATTGCCGATTGGCATTCATGGTCAATAGGAAACCCCAAAAATCACTAGGGAAAGAGGTAATTTTCCCCCAGGAAAATTTAACCCTAATTTTGATCTTTTGTTTTTATTATGGTTGTTAAGTTTCTTCTCTCAATTTTCTTGACTTCTCCTGCTCTGAACAATTTACTGAGCTTATTGTCAATAACCATACAGTTTTGCCCTCAATTGTTTTGTTTCCTGCATGTTACTTTTTTTAAAAAAAAAAAACAATATCTTTATTTATTATTTTTATGTGATTGATGCTGAGGATCGAACCCAGGGCCTCACATGTTCTAGGCGAGTGTTTTCTACAGCTGAGCCACAACCTCAGTCCAGCCCCACTGCGTGTTACTGTTTTTTCCTCTCTCCAGTTATAAGATATGCTCCTTAAGGATATAAATAACATATATCTTTTATGGTATTAAAAAATAAGATGTGTCTATAGTAGAAAATTTGGGAGGGCTGGGGTTGTGGCTCAGTGGTAGAGCGCTCATCTAGCATGTGGGAGGCCCTGAGTTCAATCCTCAGCACCAAGTAAAAATAAATTAAATAAAGGTATTTAAAAAAAGAAAATTTGGGAAATATATTAAATTAAAATTAAAAATGGCAATCACTTCTTATCACATTGCTCACATAATAACAGTTATGAATTTTGCTTATTTCCTTTTTTTGTCTTTTTTCCTCTGTGCATACAAAGGTGTTCCTTCCCTCCTTCCCTCCCTCTTCTTTTCTTTCTTTCTCTCTCTCTCTCTTTCCCTCCCTCCCCCTTTCTCTCCCTCCCTCCCTCCCCCCGCCCTTTCTTTCCCAGTGGCACTTGACCATTGAGCCACATCCCCAGCCCAATTTTGTATTTTATTTGGAGACATTTTCTGAGACTGGCTTTGAACTCCTCCTGCCTCAGCCTCCTGAGGTGCTGGGATTACAGGCATGCACCACCGCTCCCAGCAAAGGCGTGTATTTTAATTAAGATTATAATGTTAGGGGCTAAGGGCTGTGGCTCAGTAGTAGCGTGCTTGCCTAGCACTGGGTTCGATTCTCAGCACCATATATAAATAAATAAATGAATAAAGGTCCATCAATAACTAATAACAATTAAAAAAATATTATAATGTTAGCCTGTTTTGTTTCCTACCTTGGCAAATTATGATAATATAATAGGAACTGGAAAAATACTTGCTCGATTGATTGGCTGATGATAGAATGTTAAGTAATCATTAGATAGGAATAAAAGTAATTTTATTTTAATGTTTTTAAGAGACAGAATCTCATTATGTTGTCCCAGCTGATCCTGAACCCCTGATCTCAAGTGATCCTCCTTCCTTAGCCTCCTAGGTAACTGGGAGTAGAGGTGTATGCCACCATGCCCAGCTTCAAATTAAACTAACTTTAAAAGGTGAGAATCCACCCTTTGAAAAAAAAATTCTTTGTAATCCTTATGTGGCAATCTATGCAGTTTAAAACAAATTTAGTGTGACTAAAATTACAATTCAATAAATT